ATAGGATATCGTTTTACGATCGTCGGGAATCGCTTCATTAAACACAGGGAAAGGCATTCCGCAAGTTTTTATCTTCATTAATAAGCTTTAAAAGTACGCCATTTTGATTGATAACAATTCACTAATGAGAGTCATTACTAGCTTGAAACCAAGGGGTGTTTACATGTAAGCTATACTGTTATGTCTCTTGGCATTATACGAAGTGCTATTCATCACAGCATGTCTTCGAAACAGTTAAGCAAGTAAATAAAAAGGAATCTGCAAGCTACAAATAGGCTTCAAATGTTAATTACTGCGTAGTCTGTAGTTAAAATAACAAGCTACGGGATGAGTAACTGCATTAGGTTCCAAACGTCTTTTTTATTGTTTATGATAAAGTTACTACGGGAAATCCTGCGCAAAATCGTTGGCTTGCCAGTTAACTTAAACGTTAAAAAAAGCCCAAAGCACATGGACGCCAAATCATCAAAAAGAGGGCAAGTTTTCAGTAATAAGACGTGGCTTTTTTTGTAAAATTATTTCTCGCGTTAGATTTCTCTCTTTTCCTTTGGAATGGAATTGAAAAACATGTTAAAATGTTTCTCTGGCGTTTGTGCTCAAGGACACCAACATACTCTAGTTTTCACCATTCTTTTTCACGCCAGACAAAACAGGGAGGAGTCAAATAACTTTGTGGTCCAAATTACCTAACGTAATCGATGTCTCCGACGACGACACAGCATGCAAGAATAGAAAAATGCTTGTGGTCTTCTTGCTCAATCAGAGCCGCTTTAAAAAGATATCAATTCTTAATAGACAGCTTTGGCCCTGTTAGGGAATTATTGTCATTATTGCAGGTGACCTTATCCAAATTTTCGGAGTGCATGGAAGAGTTGTTTATTGAGAAAGAATGCTGAAAACTGTCCTTATACACTGTTTATCCGGATGTCTCTGACTGCACGATTAAGCCGTGCAACGAAAATAACCCTGAGATACAAAAAGGCGATAAAAGACCTCATGTTGCTCTGAAGAGCTGACGAAAGTTGTAGATTGCACTCAAAGTGATGGCTTTCATCTAAACTGATAAAACCAACAATAGGGAACGCATGACGCCATCTTCATGGGAGACACTGGGATGGCCATTCCTATATTGAATATTTTCTATCAAAAAGTCTAGATCGGTGTATTTGATCGCAACATTTCCATTCGCAAAAATGCAAAAGCTACCTAAATTTTGTCTCTGGGGTCATGAAATCAATGCCTGGACGTAAATTTTGGGATGAAAAACTATGTAGAAAGTGTAATTATGCAAAAGAAAGTCATTCTATTTGCAAGAACTGGGATTTATTTACTTACCATAAAGAAAACGCGATACCTCTTTTGCCTCCAGGAAAACGTTCAGTTTAGCAGAGCAGTTGTAAAGGAAGAGTAAAGAAAACAAGGTGAAGGCTTTGAGAAAGTGGCGTGTTTGTAGCCCGGCCATAGCACTTAGGAGGGGGGTTTGTACTCCTCTGTCTAAGCGTTCGTGATAGTTAGTTGAGCTGTTTAAATCACTGCTGTCACAGCTTTCGCTTATAAAGACAACATCGTTATTAATTACGGTAATTAAAATCTGTAAATGAAACCCAATGACAGATTGGTTAAGCTTGTCATCTAATTTAGCCTCAAAGTAAACAGTTGTTAAAGCAATATCATTAGTAGTGAATAGAGTTGACAAACTTGTAAGCTTCAACTTTCCTACGATGCACAAACGCCGCTGGCGCATATGTCATCTATGGCGTCTGACTTATTAACCGCGACGTGAGTTTATTTTGAAGATTATTTCTAAGACGATTTTCACTTTTTTTGGGAAAACAATAGGGTGTGGAAGATGAACGACTGGTGGATAAACTGAAACAGGTGATATAGAGGGCCACAGCTGTAAAATTAAGGAAAGCAGTCGTGGACAGTTAACGTGAATTCCTTTTCGAGGCCTCTGTTATTAATTTTGATTCACTAATAGTGAATTTCCGGACCTTCTACATTCCTGCTGATCCTGGCTTTAATTCAAGCTGTTACTCTGCAGGACAAGAATTTTTAGGAACAAAAAAAAAAGCAACCACAACAACAACGAGTGTTCCCGTGATGCTTTCCTTCCATCCGTTTTCGTAGTCGAGGAGAAAAACAACATTTTGTATAGATGTTGTGGGGTCATAATGGGATGTTACACTGGATGCCGGAACCCTTGTCCCGTGTATTTACACTCAAAGATCATTTAAATAAATGTTATTCATGGTAAAACAAGCCGTTTACAAAAGGGAAACGCTTTCTTTTGTCACTGTAACCAGAAACGATACACGCCAATCTAGATTGTTTTCGACCTCAGTAAAAGAGGACTACTTTTAAGCTTTCCTTCTCAGAAGGTGATTTTAAGACTATCCAATTGACTTCAATATTATACGTATAGAACGATGTCGTTGTTAGCTGGTGATAAAGGCAATCTTTGTTTCATTACCAGAAACCGTTGAAGCTCACTTGTTAACAACTAGTACAGAACTCATCTACTTGGAAGGAGATAACAATTAGTAAAGAACTCGTCTACATGGCTTGAAAGAAAGATTTTCTTTACAACGCCTTTCAGTAGTTAAGTAACCCTGCCAAGTAGTGACTGATCTTTATTTTGATAAGACGGCCGGGAGTGGCGCCAAACTTTGCGTCGTGTATCAAGGTAAAGCCAGGAAAGCTTACCTTCTGTCTTAGAAAGTATCGTCAAAACAACCAAAGAAGGGTCGAAACCAATTCTAGTAGATATCTTTTACTAATACCTGTACCTGACTTGACACAGACAGGATTATTAACTACAGTGAGCCATAATACAACCGTATGTTACAAAGTTTCATTTGGGTGACGAATTTCTTTTTTTATTTTGAATTACCGTGATAAAGTTCGAAAATATTAACATCCCTACATCCCTGCTGAGAATTTGAATTACTTCAAAGATATTTATGGACTTCTAAGTTGTTGCAACTGATCCGGAAATATGCTTACAACAAATCACTTTACAAATATCCCATCATATCCTCTGATAAAGTGATCAATCCTTATTTGATTAGGACATAGTTTTAAGCGCATAGTTTTCTTCTTAGCACACTATTATTTGACGGGACAAAACGGAAGCACAAGAATTTTAAAGGTGCTCGAGCAATGGGAGGAACCGTGGAGTGATGACTACCGATAAATTTCGTTAATGATGTTTTAACTCCTAGACAACCCTGTTACGTCCATTATAATCACTTTGGCGATTCAGTCGAGAATTTTTATCAGCGGAATTACTAGTTAAATACATTTCAATCAATCATGTTCGTCCCAAAAGGATGTTCAATATATGACGTATCAGGTTGCAACAGCAAAAAAGACAGAAAGCACCACACAAGACTGCATTGGTCACAAAGGACGGTATAAAGTACAGGAAGGTGAATGACCGAATCATATTCTGTTTCAGGGTAAACTGTGACCTTTACAAGTGTAGTAGAGGGCCTCTTTATACTTGCTGGATTAAGAGTTGTGCCGTTTTTAATATTCGTCCCGAGGAAATTGTTCTTGTATTGTCTCAGTGTTAAGAGCAACTAATCCAAGTAGTATATCCTTGAGGGTCTAGGTATAATAATTGCGTTGAATTTTGTTAGGAGACAAACTACAAACAGTAGATTAAATTTGATCTTTACTAATAAAAAGAAAAAGCATTTAAACTCTTGAAATCTAGCAGCATTATTCCCTCGGAACAATTTTTGTTTACGTTCATCGCATGCAATTCGCGTGCTCTCGCTGCCGGTTTCGCATCGACTACAACCAACCACATGCATTAGGACTGGAGATGTTAATATATTACAGATGTGACGGTCCATCTGATAATTCAATCATTTGCTTAGTGATCGCATGCATGGAGGTTCGCCCTTTCCTAGTTGACGGGCGTACTCTGTCGGCGCTATTTACAGTTCGCCAAGCTTATTGTTATGATCTCGTGAGAAGAGGATTTTCACGTATTTTACCAATTTAAAAACAAACAAGAGAAAAACCATTAACCAATTAGTATTCTTAATTGTTTTTGAAATGATTCCGGAAATCTTGTTCTACTCTAGAAGAAACGACCTGGTCCACTTGTAGTCTGGCTTTTTTTTCCTCTTACGAGCCTACGAGCGAGGAGGGAAATCAAATGCTTTGTTTACATCTGGAAGGGAAGGGTTCTGTCTCATTCTTACATTTAATCCTCCTAATCTCTTTTCAAGTAAAGCTCTAGCTTTTCTCACTCATCTCGCCCAATGACGAAAGAAAAACAAACTCCGAACACCAAAGTGGTGGGTACAAATGAGGGATTGGAGAATCCCAGCCCCCACCCCCTCCCCTCCTCCCGTCCCTTCAGACCTGTGGTGTTTTTCCACTTCTTGTCTGACACCAAAACTTCCGAAACGCCATTTACTACTCAGTGTGAAGTATTTAGAAATCCATTCGTTTAGACATATTTGTCAGCACCCTAAAAAATGTGGGCTGGCTATAGGGAAAGAAAAAAATTCTCCTTTTTGTGAATACAAGTTTTAAGCTCCCCCCACCTATCAAAAATGCTTGGATACACTCCTGCAGTAGAGCAGGACATGAAAGGAAGCTGTTGCTTCTTCTATCCTGAGTGTGATCTCGTTTCTTTCCCCGAGTCACTCGCTTGCCCCAATTGATCGAAAGCATGGGACAAGATTCAATTCTGCTACAATAACAGTACGTGCAAGCTTGATGCATGCATGCGCATGCTACGTATATTCAGAATTTAAGAACTTACACCTCTATTAATACCCAATTTAATTGTTTTATACGGCGCGTAAAATATTGCTGAATGTATGTATATCATATTGCACGATTCAACAGTACACCGATGCAACGTTAATTCAATCGCAAGTGTTCAAACCAGCCAGCTGATTAGACCATAATCAGGGAAAAAACCTTTTGCCCAATCCAAGGAAGGTTTTGTCTGAGCCAAACGTGGTCGTACCCTCTGAAAAGCGAGGAAAAAAATGATCAGTGACCTTAAAGAACCAGACTTAACGCCTTTTGTCAACCTGTATAACAGTGAGCCAAGCGGAAGTCACGCAAAAGCGTGAGCCGAATGGGAAGTCCATCACAGCGTGACTGCCCCTTACCGCTTTACGCTTTTCTCATTTTTCCTCAAGTTAACAGAAGAGATTGTTACACAGGCTAGTGAGACAAAGAATTCCCAAGTGCTTGACTGCAGAACTTACTCTTTGGTGGTGGCTTCTCCATATACCAGTACAAGTACCCCTCTCTAGCCCTAGCATTAACTGATGTCCTCAACAGTTTGGGAGGCAAGGGTCGTGGCTTGTGGTAATCCCCTGGCAAGTTACCGTGTAGCTCTTTGACGAGAATGTCGCTGAAATTTGGCCCACCTATACGCGTTAAGGTCCCGTCAATTTCGTGCCGGAACTTGAGGAGTTTTTCTTCTGACTTCTTGTCTGGTTTAGAAAGAATTGGATCACAGTTTTCTTACCCTTAAACTAAATAATGGACTTTCATCTCTGACTTTGTGCTAATAAATCTTATGTTGTCGCTTTTTTTCCACAAGTTTTATACGTGAGCCAGGCGGAGCACATTGAAATTGCACGTTGAATGAAGCGATTAGGCACATTGCAAGAGATGATAAACTTATTCTCTTGGACCACTGCTACTACCTATGGATGATACTGGCCCCGGTTGTTTGAAGGTCGGACAACGCTATCCATAGGATAAACCCCTATAGCGCTGTACGTTTTGCCATCACTTATCCGCTTGATAGCGATTTATCCAATGGATAGCGTTATCCGCCATTTATACAACTGGACCCTGGTTGGAGAGGCACTGAAAGGGAAGTGTCCTGCCCAACTGAATCCTGAGTTCAATGGACTAGCTATCAGGCCACGTTGTCACCCTCATTTACTCAGAAAGCCCGCCTTGCAACAATTTCAATAGTTCGACGAGTCAAGAACTATTACGTAAATTGTTCATATTTACCTGGATGTTGCTCGTGCCGCATTCGATCACCGTGGAACGTCTTCACTTGTCCTCTCGTGTCTCGAATGGAAAATGTAGCAACCTTAGAGCAGAGAGATAAAAAGAACTTAAAAAGAACTTAAAAAGAACTTAAAAAGTCACGCATTGGTCACCCGATTGCTCTATCGCGAGGCAATTGTTATGAGGCTGACAGTTGTAAGATGTTTTAATATCGATTCACCGTGTAGTCTGATCGTCTGAGTAAGAGTAGTCTTGAGAAGGACTGTTGACTGTAGTAGTGACTGACGTTTTGATAACCTGAGTGGTGTCATCATAAGAGTTACGAGGAGACTGTTTCCAGTCGAGCGTTTTGGAGTACACCCGTAAGACCTGTAAGACCTGTAAGACCTGCAAGTCCGGTATTGACCCCTAAGGTGTTTCCCAAACCGCCATGGTTGAAATTGAACATAACTCTAATTTATTATTTATTATGAAAAAGATATTTCCTATTGGCTCAAAAAGGATACAAACCCGGAAATTTGCGACGCTATGGTACTGCACTAACAAGAGACCTATTAACCCTTTTTACACCCAAGATCTCAGTAGGAATTCTCCTGACTGTCTGCCATACAATTCTTGTGATGTAAGTTTGGAGAATTTGGTCTTGGATAAACTAATAATCCCCTTATTGATATCTGTATTTATTCTCATCACTTGTCTGTATGATATTGTACTGATATTGTACTGATATTGTACTGATATTGTCCTGACATTGTACTGATGTTGTACTGATGTTGTAAGGAGAAATTCTGTCTTGGTCACTCATGGGAGTTAAAAGGTTAACTCGGTTGGGACCGTTTCGGTCCCGCCGTGTTAGGCTGATAAATGATACACCTACTATGAGACCCATATAAATAAATACAAAATTAATTATATATAGCCGAGAGATTTACGAAACGTGACGTTTCAACATAGAAACAGTCCCAAGCCCCCAATATTTCGTTTTCAGCCGTGAGGTTATCAAATTATCAGTATCCAGCTGCTTAGAAACTTTTGCGTGACATTTCTAGAGGATTTTTCAACAGTTCAGTTCGATAGTTCGTCGATCGATGCAAAATTACGCCGTTTTATCAAAGAGCTATGCAACCTTAATCGGTTCTACGTGAAAACTGGCAGATGAACAGACTAATAGAAACTCGAGCTTGGAAACCACCGCCATTTGCCTAACAACCGATCTTATCGTTGTGTATTACTATCGAGTTCGCGTTAAGGGAAATTAGTTAACTTTAAATAATCTTCTGCTACAATCTAATCTATATTTTTCCAGTCTACCTTATGTTTCATCTTTGCCCAGTGATCTGTGTTCCCTGCCATAAATCTGTGCTTAGCGGGTTCCTTTTGTGCCCAGTGCGACAAACTGTAAACAAACAGAAAAAGTCAGAGTCGCTATCTCTTTTCGTTGTCCATCGTTCAGTCTAATGTCACTCACTAGGGCAAGCTCCCCGTTTTATCCCGATATAATTGTATATCAGTCATGTTAAGCTTTCGTGGTTACTTGACTAAGCCGGTGACATAATAATTTTAAGGCTCCTTCGACGAGGATTTGTTCATGGCGGTCCGCGTATTGTGTTACAAGGTTAATTTGTTTTATAATAAGTTAATTGCACTGGGTGACGCAAAAAACACAATAGGTTGTTGGATTAGTGAATCATGTGACTTGAATGATAAAAAGCTCCACTGTTCGTTGGAGACGGAAGAATGTCTTGCAAGGAAAGAAAATCGTTCTTCTTCAGTCTTATTCGCAATTACTTCTCTGACTCAAGATTAAAATTATCATAAGAAATTAAAGGGCATTGATGAAAAAAAAAAACTCAAAGACTCATGTATTGTCAGTGTTGACACTTCAGGAATACTTCATTACCCTCACCCGGACAAACATACTCGACAATCAATCAATTTGAGGCTTGCAGATCCTGTTTACCTCGTTGAAACGAACTTGTGAAACTCTCTTACGGTTCCATTCTTTTCTTCTGTTCCTAAATTCTTCCTGTTCATTTTTGTTTTCAATAGAAGAAAAGTCGAACAAAACAAAATCCAAAAAAATAAACTTATAAAGTGCAACTCCTAATGGCCTTATCTGGCTTTCACTCTTAGCAAAATTGTCAGTATTTTACTCTAAGGATAAACTGTGCTGGGGGAAACTTACCAAACCGGTCATTTGGTGGGGGGGGGGGGGGGGGGGGGGGGGGGGGGCTTTAAATAATTGAGATGGTATGGCTAGTCTCGATTTCTAGTGACACCTTGGATTCGATAAAAAGGTTTGTTGAATTATATAAGGAAAACCAGGAGCTCGACAACAAACAATCATGCGATCTTGTCGTACCCCAATAAACTCCAAGACAATCGAGCTGGGTACGGTGGCATACTTTGCCACGCAACAACAGTTAAGTGTGACGTGAGAAATAAGGCCAATAAGGGGTTCTTCCTGTGTAAGTGAATGCATCTTTTCATATTCTCCTTGTCAACACCGCTCTCTTTTGTGATGCTTTTTAAATAATTAACGCTTTTAGTCTGGAATTCACGTTCGGTATTTTCCTTTCTCTTCGTTTGGGAAATGCGAAAACGAGGCTAATTAGTTGCCATGGTTACGTGTGGCTTCTCGCGCGGTTTGCACACAACACAAAGTCGCACTGCATTCTTCTCATAGACAGTGGCAAAATTTTCCCGAAGAAATGGAAGTTACAAAGGCTACCATCGGTTCTGATCCGTGGAAAAATGCAAGTATAAGAAACATAAGACTTTCTCAGACAGTTCTCAACCGTAGCGACAAAGCATGTGAGCTGGGACAGCAGTTGGACCCCTTGCCATCGCTAAGAGACACTAGTATACAACAGAGCAATGCCAGAATACATGCCTACGTTCGGGCGACAAGGGCTGTCTTAGTGAAGCTCCGAGAAAGTTTGTTAGACACGAATGAAGAGATAAAATCTCTGTTGAGAGGGAAGGAGGATTTAGAAAAGACTCTGGAGCATATTCGTAAAGATATTATCTTAAACACACGATCTACGATGCAACGGCAAACGAGACCGCCACGAGAAAAGGTAACATGAGGCTGTTATTGCTCTGCAATATTTTATTTTCATCCGTGCGCGTTCGCAATCATTAGTTCGAAAATTTCGTTTTGAGATGCTAAGGAATGTCATACACTTAAGGAAGATTAAATTGAGCTGTATTGTGATCTGCATAAGTTCAATATATTACTCATTTCACTAATTGATGTCCTTCTCGTCCCGTTGTTCTGTTGTAAGTAATACTTTGAGATAAGTTAAAGTTGATATTCAACCTAAGTATTACTCTCCGCTGAAAGTTGATAGCTCAACAAAGCGATGTCGTTTTCTTAATGAAATTTTTGAATAGTCAGAAAATTGTTTGTTTCAGACACGATCAGTTGCTAATGAGAGAAGAAAATATCTGGATACCCTTTCCGCTAATGATGACTGTTCAGCCATCATTAAATTTTTTTTTCAATGTGGACGGATTTTGAAAACAGAAAAATGTGTTTTCGTTCAATCAGCACATTGAGTCGACAATCAAAAGTGTTGAATCTGAAAAATTTGTCTTTGTTGATGAAATGCAGCTGTAACCATGCAAAACAAATCGGTAATGATTATTTATTTACATGTTCATATACACAGAGTTGACACGAGGGTGTCACTGTAACATTTTAAGCATGAGGGGATTGTGTAAATGATACTTTTTTAAACATTTCTTGAACCCAGCAGGTGATAATACCGTGAAAAAATATATTCTGAGAGATGTCAATTGCTTTGTCACAAGGTGTTTAAAAATCATTGTTTACATTGTTGTAGTCAGTAAGATTTTTTAGAGGGATAGCTTTTATGCTGAGGTGACTATCTAAACTGGCAATAACCTAATTATAGACTCAGAAGGGTTGAGTCCTCAGCTTCTAAAAAGAAATTACACTGAATGTGCAGTTATAAGTGTACTTACAATGGAACAAACAAATGTGAATAAGTATTTGTCTTAATTAAAGTTTTTAATTTTTCTCCTTTAATCTTTTTTCTAATCAAATGATAACATTTTTCTGATCATGAAAGGACCTTGATGGAGCAGATGACCTCCTTGGAGCTGAGCGCAAGCATTTACTGAAGCTTAAGCGAATTCTGGAGGCTCAGCTTCGCTCTGTTCAGAAACAGCTTCAAGTGCTTGATGGAGCAAGGAAAAGGCTCACTGCCTCCTTACAAGAGAGGTCAAGGGTACTGGACCTTATATGCCACGCTGTATCTGCAGCCCGTGGTGCTGGCATCAAGGATCAGGCAGAGAAGCCTGTCACACCACCTGTGGAACCACTGGGTCCTTACACTCCTGAATGTGCAAGGGTGATTTCAACAGCAGCAGAGGCACGGCAGAGATCTACTAATTTGCGTAAGGAAGTTGCAGAAGCCATTGAGCAGACAGTTAAGCTACAGAAGGCAGCTCATCAATCCGTGAATGACGGATTGACTCAGAAAGTTGCTGAGACAGTCACCATGAAGGTTGGTTGTGTTAAAAAAAAAATACATGTACATGAGCAACTGGGGTTAAAATTCATAATTACATAAAAAGTATTCACTGGTTAACAGCCGGCCCTCTTAGTCTTAAAAATTGGTTAAATTAGAAAGTGTTTTTCTGTGAGGAAATTAGAATATATCCAGAATCTTGACATGCATATAAGGTACTTGAATATCTCAACAGCTAGCATTTGCCTAATAACCATATAAACAGACAATAATTAGATGTTATTAACTCTTTGAGCAAAAAGTTTCAATCAGAGAATGCTGCTTAATGTAAATTTGAATTGTTAATGGTACAACTTATTATGCCCTTTAACTCCCATGAGTGACCAAGACATAATTTCTCCTCACAATATCAACCAAACAAGTGATGAGCATCAAAAAATATCAATTTGAGGATAATTAATTGATCCAATACTAAATTATCTGAACTAACATCATGAGAATTGAACGGTTGATTGTAAGGAGAATAACCAATTTTATTTGGGAGTTAAAGGGTTAATTTAAGTTGACATACAATTCCAAGAACCTTTACTATTTGTTTAATTTAGGATCTAAAATACTATGGAAACGTTTTGGTTTGTATTTTACCCTCTGGTGACCATAGCTGGCCCAAAATATTTTTGACAACATATTTATCCTTTTTTTTGTGACAACAGCAACATCTTTTGGTTGGTGCCGGTGAAACTCAAATGGCCATTCATCGAAGTCAACGCTGGTATGATGCCACAGAAATGGCTCTTGGATATACACTGGTATGTAGATTTAATAATTAAGCTAAACCTTTAAGGAACTAGTGCATTGTGCTTTTAACTAACAACAGCTAGACCACTTATAAAAACACCTAAAAGTTTACAGTCATGAACTTCTTTTCTCAGTCCCCATACCATCACTGCAAATTGGCCTTTACTTTTTAGAAATGGTCTGTACCTTATTAATGCTAAGGGTCATGGGCCCAGAAGCCTGATCTTATAGTGGTTCCCAATCTCTGGTTTTAAAAGTTGTGGTCATTGACAGTAAAACAAGCAGCCAACACAAGCAAGAAAGTTTCAACGACAACTGAGTTTTGCAAGTTTTTAAGTGAAGATCTACTTTGAAGAGAGGATATATTTTATGGACAAGCCTTGAATTGTTTTATTTAATGTAGTTCAGATATCCAAGTACTTATCGTAAACGGAAATATGAAAATTATAGGAAAGAATTAAGCTAAGCTAACTTCAAACATACATACTAAATTCTAAACATTCCTTTACAAAGACACAAGTTATACTAAGACCTACAATCAAATGCACACAAAAACTATGTCTTCAAAAGGATAAATGAGAACTGCTTTAAAACAAACTCTAACACAAACTTCATAGCCAAATGGGTAAATTGGGTAGCATTCTGATGAAACATGAACAATGTAAACCACATGTCACAAGGTTGCAAAAAAGTGCAATGGAAAAACTAGTATGAAACTGGGCAAAACTACCAAAGGCTAAATATTTAGACAGGCATAAAGAAAGGAACATAGGCACTTTCATAACAGTTGGAGTTTAACCAAACTAACTTCAAGATAAGGTGGGCAAAACGCTCTTATGATAAACACACAACTTATTGTTTTTCCAAGCCAAGACAACTGACAAAAATGCAGTTCTGGGTGAAACTTAAATGATCATGTCCCTAATGGACAAACAATAACATCATTATGGTGCAGTCTAACATAATGCAACATGAATCAAGCTTGTAGTGAATCAATGTCCAGTGATAAAGGCATAGCAGCCATAACACAAAGACATTTTCTGTATGAAACTGATAATCCTTAAAGGACCTCTTGCTTTAACCTTCCTTGTACTACTTCATCTATCTCAAGTTTGTCTCCTCATATTACAGGGACCTGTTGCTTATTCTGACCTTACCACTCGTGAGCGTTTGGACCGTCCAGCAGTGCAAGTCTACCAACGTCATCCTGGTAACCAATTGCCTGAGGCTCGTGAGATTGTTAAGGGAGGAGAAGGTCTGCAGGAGTCTTTGAATGCCACAGCTCGCAATGTTGGTCTCTTGAGACTTACCAAAAAGAGAGTTGATGATGATGCAAGGGATAAACACCGTGCTGCCTTGATTGATGCTAGTGTTACCCGTATGCGTAGACGTTTAGGAAATCACCGTTGGGTGATCAATGGTGTTGGGTGTTAACTTCTGGTGGCTAAATTTAGTCTCTGTTTATAAACTTTGTAGTTTTGATTGACATCAAGTTTTAAATGGATAGCAATCCAAAAATTTCCTGATACAACTTTTTTTTTTCTTATTCATTTTACAATGGAAAGCCCTTTTTCACTGCAAGAATGATATAAAGTAGTTCAATTGGTTTCATTTTTGAAAAATATACGTAGGTAATATATTTGAGGAAGAATTCATTTGAAATTTATCTTGAAAATTGGCACTCAGTGTTTGGTTGCACTATTAATGAACTGAATGGGATGTTACTGGATTTATTATGGGCACAGTAATAGGCATGGAAATGAGACCAAAGGAAATAAATATGTTTCATTTAAGGCTTGATTTGTAAATAAAATACATTGAGTGTCTCTAAGATTGGTTATTTATGATGATGGTTGGCAAAATACCACATTTCAGATAAGTTTATTCTAATTCACTGCAATAGTGTTAATATATGACATATGGCTCATTTCCAGTTGACATCTCTTTGATTTAAAATGGTGGCAATTCATCCAGCTGTAGATAGTCTTAAAACTTGATATGTCTCAACAACTCTACCTTTTGTTTTTCCATGTGTGATAAGAAAATGATAGTGATGAGAGTGAAACTGTGTCAATAAAATTGTTCTAAATGAATTTTATTGTTAGTGAGTTGCCTGCACTTTGTTATTTTGGGGAAAAATGTGTCCACTCAAAGCCAACCCCATTATGTGGCTGAGTACAAATTATCAGAGGGAAATATTCACTAGAAATTGCAGGAGGCCTTTGACAATGGTAAGCAGAATGAAAAAGAAATGAAGCTGTTTTTTTGAAACTGATGATGACAGGGTAAAGAAGATAATACAGGGTCATGAGGTGATAAAAACTTTACCTTTCAGCCTTGGGTGTACCTCATGAATGAATGCATTTAACAAGTGAGAGTATTTTAAGCTCAACATTGACAAAAAACAAAGCGGTTTTAATTTTTAACATGAAACTGAGGACCAAGTAAGAAGCTATTGTTTGAACCTCAAATTTAGCCTTTTAATTAAATTTGGAGTGATTCTACAGACAGGCTACACATTTTGACCCATGGCACACCAAGAAAAAACGTTTTCCTTCTAAGAGAAATTTTTTCCATGCCAGACATGGAAACAAGATCCTTATATTGGCACTCTTATCTTGGATGGTCACTCAGCAAAGCACCATCTATGGTAAAAGGCACCATGATAAACAGAACTCAGAAACGGGAGAAATACTAATATTTCACCATTACCTTAGTACTGAAAAGGGATTCTGTACAATGAGCCTTATTCCAAACCAATTTTTTCCCCCTGGGTCGAAGTGGGCGACGCATCCTCTTAATGACTGGGCGTGTACTGCTAGATTCTGGGACCCTTTTGCCTTCCCAGACCATGCCGGAAAACATCATCATGTGAACATTGTTTAAATTGAATTCCAATTCTTTGCGCCTAGGGTTATACAAAATATACATTAGAGAATAGAAAGAACTTATAACGAGATCTTGGCGGTGAAAGGGTCAAATCCGGACTGATAACCAATGGAAAAGTTCGATAATATTCAGACTCAGAAAATATCATGATTTCGAGCATTCGTTAAGGAAAAGAGCACTAACTCCAGTTCGGTCGGAACTCATTCTTCCGTTCAATTCGTTGGCAGCTGCTTAGTCTTGATATAGCATTTTTGCAATTGAGGACGAAGTTCCAGAATCTTTTGTTTCGTGTCGTGCGAAATGTAACACTGGAACACAAATAGCTCTCTTAGTCTATCACACCTCGTGACAAGATACAACAACGCCTTTTCGAGTTCCTCGCTACTTGTCGTACTAATCGACAACATTTCCAAAGTTTCACTGTAGTTCATGGCAGCAAAATAAACTTGGTCAATGACTTGGGACATGACTTCCAGGCGAAGGTTTTTCACCGGAACTTCGGGCTTCAAAATCATATCAACCTTGTACATCGGACAGGAAGTGTCGAAAGCTAGCGTGACACGCAAGTTAGGAATCTTCCTCCTAACGACTTCCCACGTTTCTGATGTTATGTCTTTTCCAAATTTTTCCTCTCGTCTACAGTCGATAGAGAGGTGATTGAGGGGAGTCCGGTTCTCTTCAGCGAGAGACAACAATATCTCCTCTGTCACGCTAGTATGATGAAGCGCGAGGGACTTCATCTTCCGGCACATGTCAAGCACATTTTCTATGCAACCGGAAGTGACTTTGCAAACAAGGGCCGCGTTTTGAATATTCAGTGACTCTAAGTCGCGATTATTTTCCACCAAGCAGTTAATTAAATTGTCGCCATAGGCGATCGGAAGTTTGCTTAGATCCACTAACTTCAACGTCGAGAGTACTTCAACATCCTCGTTGGGTTTGTCGAACAGAACTCGTAAACACTCGATAAATTCCTGTCCTGCGTAGAACAAAGGATTCTCTCCGAGAAACTTGACAGTAAACCTTTCAAGCCTTCGCTCTTTTATACCGCTTAACATAAGGATAAGCGTGCAAGCACTTTCTCTGTTGATTTTATCTTCTTGATTACAATGAATCTCTACGGTTCTTAGATAATGACCGTGGTTCTCCAGGCATTGTGCGTACTTGAACTCTTTTGAATCGACGAATTTGAAATGGAATGTATGCCATAACACCGGAGAACCGAAACATTCACGCCACTGTTTACACGCGAGCGAAGCTGTTAACCTGTCAGAAAGTCCCAGAAAAGACAAGATCCCCACTATTATGTGATCGGGAAGATTTTCCCATTTCTTTTCATCCATTGATCAAACTCAGGCAACAAACAGCTGAATCGCTTGATATCTGAGGCGTTGTTGTTTGATCAAATATGGAAATTTGCAGAGTGTTATAAATATTCAAGTATGCCGTGACCTCCACAGGGTACCCAGTAACTAAGAAACGTGTTAATTTATCCATCACGAAGTGAAGGACAAACAATGGCGAATAATAATTACACAATGCCAAAATATGACCAGAATAATTTGAATTTTTAATCTTTTATTCATGCAGCTTAAAATCCCGCCTAATAATTCTCAGTCGAGAGATCTCTGACGTGGGGACAGACCAGCGAATGAAGTGGGGTAACTTCAGTGACAAGATTCGGTCCTCAGGGGGGCACGTCCCTTAAAATTTAGGAACCTTGATGTACTTCAAACCATAAATCTTAAGAGTAATAGAGCCCGTCTTCACTCCTGAGCTAGTGTATTCTGTTTCGTTTCACGGAAAATTCAACTCCAAAATTTCAAGGCTTTGTGAGAATATTAATGTCTTAATCTTGAGATGAACAACAGAAAAACAGAATTTTTAGGATCGTTAGCTACCGAAACTTTGGCGCGTTATTCAGCATCAACCCGAGTTTTCAGTCAAATCCGTTCCCACGGGGTTTTCCAAAAGATCGCTTTGTAGATCACACTGCGAAAACCTTGAATAAAACCTGAAAAAAATTTACGAGACGCAGGATTTTTCCGGCAAATTCCTGCGATTTGGCCAAGTGCGAAGTTTTGCCTCCATTTATTGTTTATGCAATAATGTACATAGGCTTTCTCCTAGTCTGAATACTTACACCTCTTCCATGACTAAAAATATGAAATATCAAAGGGGAAACTCTACGAAGCCAATAAGTCCTCCAAGTACTTTGTACATTTTTTTAGGGTGCAAAACCCACCGTTTATAAGGTTTCTCACTAAATCAGTACAATAAAACATTTCCAGTCCGAAAATATTGATTAAAAAAAAACCTATAAAAAGTTTACGTTACATTTTCCCGATACGATGATACAAAATCATTAAGCAACCCAATGGGCACGTGACTTGCACAGCATTTGTTTCTTCTTCAGAAACAAAAAAGGATCCCAAGGTTTCAATTACATAACCAGTAAAAAGTGTGTGGATGAACATTTCCCTCTTGGTTATCATACGTATTTTAAAACCGTTAAACCGATCCTTTATAAAGAAACATCTTTATCGAGTTCCAATACTAAGTAAGATTGATGTCGCATCGCATCTTTTTCTACTTGACCATTGAGTTTATCGACAAGTTTTTGCAGAAGGACTTTCTTGCGCTGAAGCTTCTCTTGAGAACGTGATGCTGACTTGAGCTTTCCCTCCAGATTCAGATTTTGTTGTGTAAGATCGTTGTTTTCACCGTACAATCTGTGGATTATTTTCTCGCATGTTTTCAGCTGATTATCTGCTGTTTCCATCTACAGAAAAACAGATTAAAAATACCTCATGTAAACGTGTCGACTACTGGAAAAGGCTCTTCTTACAACAAAGGCAACTATAGCGATTAGAACCACTATAATGATCCCGATCACGACAACGATAACTATAACTCATACTCAGTTACTCTTCTTTTTTTTTTTATAACAATGGTCATGATAAGATTATGGGTAGTCTGTGATCTGTAAACAAATGGATCTTTGTTTTCCCACCTGCGCCTTTAATTGAGTTGCATACTCCCGAGGAGCAGTTCCATCAATTTTAGAAGAATATCTTTCTTTATCCAGCTTCACAGAGGCAGGAGTCACGAATTCTTTAGTGTTTTTGTAATCAAACGCCGTCTGAGGAAAAAGGTACCATAAAAACATCTATAAACTTAAGGTTAAACGTGTACAAAATAGAGGTGTGCGTGACATACGTCCCTGTGGAATGTGTGACATTTGTGGACACGGACTGGACGTGAGCTTAGTACCAGGATCTCTCTGTCGTAAGCAGCCCGGGAACTCACGAAATTTGTTGCACGTTGGCTGCAACATGGCGGCCGAAAGAAACCTAGCGGTGAAGGATTTTTTTCAATGTTTATGGCAAAGGACGGTCCCATTCGTTTATTTTGAGACAGAATTTTTCTCGAAACCTCAAAATATCTTATGTATGAGAAAGGAGGCTGAATGGAATTCAAGAAGGAAGAGCATCTTTACCACGATAACAAGGTGAATTGCTCCGATGTTTGTGTGTTGACTGAAAATATCCTTGGTCCATTGTATTCGCTTATTGAATAATTTAGATTCAGAAATCTCTCCTGAAAGATTTGTACCTTCTTTACCTCAATGAGAAGTTTTTTTCTTTGGTGAGAAGTTACATGTGCATTTTTGACACCATATTATGATATTATGACCAGAAATCTTACAATGTGTCATTCTTATCGTGCAAATGAAAGTTCTATTGTTATTGATACTTTCGATATTTGTTAGAGTACTTGGAATCAATTTTAATTTTAACTTATTTCATAGGAATGGGAGGCAGGGAAAGCATTAGGAATGGAAGAATGAGAAGTCTCAGTAGAAATGTTTCTTTGATACTCACAAAAATAATATCAAATTCCTTCGCATAATAAAGTGAAATCTGTTGAAGCTTCCTTTATACTGCGGCTAAAGCTTAGCACAATTTCAAAGCATGAAGCACCCTTAGATATTGCTAGTGTTTTGTTCTCCATGGGATATATGTCTATTTGCAGTTTCTACAACATTTTACTCGTTTTTCCTCTCTAGTTCTCTCTTCAAAGCAACCATTTCATAAGCTGGTGGTCTTATATAGATCTTATCACAATGACATTATGGGGTGGGCTTGGTGTTTTTGTGATCAAGAGGTGTAAAGAGATTTCCCACACCCCCCCCCCTTCCCCCCCAAAAAACTCTTACAGCCTGCAGTTAGCTTTTAAAGCTTCCCCACAATGCAAATTAATCAAAAAGAAAATCCCATACTGTCTAACCCTGAAAACTTTCATAAAACTCATGAATTTTTGAACCCAAACAAATCCCCTGCACCTCCCAAGATCATTTTTACAGCTTGTAGTGAGTTTTAAAAGCATCCATACAATGCAAATTTAGAAAAAAATCCCATACTTTCTAACCCTCAAATCTTTGATAAAACTTGTGAATTTTGAACCCAAAAAAATCCTCTTCACCTCTCAAGATCATTTTTACTTCTTAGTGAGGCAGTGTCCATAACTTGATTCTGGACTCTGTGAATTTATGGTCCAATAAGCAAGAACCATTGACATAAGATGCAACATGCCTGATTTTTCAATAAGTAGCCTCATTAATTAAATGATATTATCTGAACTGTAACTTAACTATGAAAGTGTATTCTGAAATTTTGATACCTTTTGTTGTAGGTTTGAAATTTGCCTTTCAATTTCTTCCATAATTTCCTTGCTGCTATGTTCACCAGTCATGAGGAAATAGGAGAGCCTCTGATAAAACACCTGGAGAGTGTCATCTTGTCTGTCACTTTGGAAACCATGAATTGACTGGTTCTGTGGCAAGATGGATTTTGTTAAAGGTGAATGTTTATATATACATTCTTAAAAGTATTCATAATATGTTATAACTGGTGTCAGGTGGCTAATTAAAAACATGGCTGGGTCCTAGCAGAAAGCAGGTGCCACAGACAACCAACCTTTTTTTCATGGGCAGCTTGTCTAACTTTACTCTTATGAGAGCTTCTAAGAGTTGGGACCTCAAACTTTTGGAAAAAAATAGCCCTCAGACACTTAGGAATTTGTCTGACAGTACAGCATCGTAAAATCCAAAGTTAATATTTGTAAGAAGTTGGAAAAATTGATTATGGTGTCATAGAAAAGCATATTTTAATTCAATCTCTATTAGACTATTTTTGCATTGATTTAATGATTACAAATGCTTTCTTATTCATAGCCAAGCTCTATTAGAGACTTCATGAATATTTTTGCATCATTTTATGGACTTTAAAATACTTTCCCATTTTCAATCCTGAAATATGTGATTGTGTTTGCTTCCATATAACAGATTTTTTCCGCCAGGATTTTGAATTTGGCCTTCCATGAAAACAGAACCAACAACAGGTGTTAGTTAACGAAGGTCTTCCCATAGGATTTGAATGTACAAAACTATATTGAATCCTGCTAAATGTGAAGATTAGTAATCAAGATTGTTCTAAGTGTACCTTTTCGCTCAAAGTGCTCATTTCCCGTCGGTGGGTTATTTCCTGAAGCTCCAGCTTTTGTTTCATGTTTTCAAGCTGCCACTCCAGTAGGCTTACTTTCTGTTCTAATTCAAGCTTTTGCTGTTTTAGTTGTCGAATTTGATCCTTATATTCTTGAATTAAAATATCTTTCTCATCCTAAACATCGAAAAGAGAGAAATAATTAATTATTGCAAATGTTTTCAGAGGACTAAGGTTTCTATTTATTAAGCAGCTTTTTTACAGTTATATATTAATTAAGAGCAAATTTTGTCTCTTTTTTTAAGCTCATAGGAATAGTAACTTGTTTTCACTCATCACGTGTAAAACTTCTGTGCACGTGAATTTAAGTGCCCAAATTGTGTGCAACCGCAAGATTGATTCTTGGAAGTTTTCAATTGCACAATTTTCAGAATATTAAATCTTGAAACTACTTAGGATATTCAGTGTAGTTTGTTCAAATATATAAACGTGTTAAGATTTTGTCTTGTTAGCTTTGTCACCACCGGTAAAGACTGTGTGAATTTGTCATGCATTAAAACAAAATAGGGATTTACGAATGAGGCATGCACTGGTTCCTGGTCAAATGTATAATTTGGAGTGTTAAGGAGGTTTGCCTCTCCGGAAAATCCGGAGGAAAATCCTACAGCTAAGACGAGGACCATCAACTGTGTCAACTGTGGGCCGATCCGTGTACCCCTAACATGATACTCTTATTCATTTGTTAGTAAACAATGACCGTTACCTCGGTCATAGATCTTGCGGTGTTGCAGTCCTGATCAGTGTCAACTCCAACAACATGGCCTTTTGTCAGCTTTACTTCCAAATCAACGGTAGCGTATTCCCGGTGCACTGTTTCTAGAACAGTCCTTCTGTTTTCCAGACTCGTCACTTCTGCATGCAGTCTTGTGAGCTGTATTCTCATGTCGTAGATTTGGCTTTCTAACTCGTTCCTCTCCCGTCTCAATGAGACCACGGTGTTGTCTTCCTTGGTGGAGTCTTCGTGGAGTGTAGAACTGTTTTGGTTTGTCGAGAGAGTCTCAGATGAAAGACTGCGTTGTTGGTGATTGATGTGCAAATATGAATTATTGATGGAGTTATCGGAATTATTATAAGTCATCTGATAACTATCTGATGATGAGAATGGAGTTGTTTGATGTGATACATGCTGTTGTGAAGTATGGTAGTTTTGTGAATTGTCAACCTCACTTTTATCCGATTGGCGATCGCTTGTGAAAGCCACCTCTACTTCCGTTCGATCTGGTGCGTTTCTTAGTTCTTGTCTCTCGGTTCTTGAATACAGCCCATCCATTTCAAGACTCTGTTTTTTAATTTCCAAATCGTAAATATACATCTCCATGTCTGATTTCTGCTGTCGAAGATTCAGCAAATCGTCTTCTTCGTTGCTTTTCAGGGTTTGGATCTTTGCAATTTCTGACTGCAGATCTTGTTTTTGTTTCAGCCAGTCTTTTAGTTCTTCCTGTAAATGATAAAAAAAGGTCAATAGGCTTATCAACCTTTGCCTTAAGCAAAAACCCGACTCTTTAAAAAAGAACACGATATAGGTTGCTTGAGCCGTTGTCACATTTTTCAAACGTGTATTTAGCACTTTTTCACCTCTGCGTGGGTGGCCGCGAACCGCACGCGAGTGTCGAGTGCCAAATATTGGAAAATACGCAGAGGGGCGTAGCTTGGTTATGCTTACTCGTTTGGTCTCTGTTAGCACAACGGAGAGAGAGTTCTTTTAGATTTGTCAGATCTGACGAATCAAAAGCATCCAAAAACATTGCATCATTAGTCCGTAATAATTGATGAAATATCGCCAAATTCCCATCCCACTCCTTACAAATTGAAATTTAAACAAACAGAAAGTTAAACAAGAAATACAAGCACCCTTTATGTTTCTCACCTGTGTGGTAGGAACGTCGTTAGTCCTTGATCCCAAATACCCCTCTTTATCATGCGTTTCATGCTCTGGCCTGTACTCTTGTTCTTGTTCGTTAGACTCCGCCCTTAACACGGACAACTGAACCTCAATTTCGGACTTTTCTCTGCGAAGTTGTTGCATCTCTCTTTCCTCTTGATCTCTTGTCGCTTTGATCTTTATTATTTCTGCTTGCAAATCTTCTTTTCGCCTCGCCAAAGTTTCCAGATTGTTAGTGATGTCTTGGACATTTGTTTGCAGTCCATTTGTTGCTATGGCTTTTTTCCTCCAAGCCTCATCGCCCACTGAAATATTCGTCTCAAGGTGCCGTTGCTGGCTTTGTAAACTAAAAACGTCTCTCTCCAATTCAGCCTTTTCTCTGCGTAGCTTATCAACCTCGTTCTCATCTTTGTCTCGCTCATCTTTAATCACAGAGCATTCAGCTCCCAGCCGTGTGATTTGGCTTTCTAGTGCTGTGATCTGCAGCTCCAGATCCGTTCTCTCTTTTCGTAAATAATCGACGTCATTCTCTCTTTGCCTAAAAGCTTCTTGCACGACAATGATGTCAGCTTCCACTTCGGCCTTGTTTCTCCTCAGAAGAGTTATCTCCTTCTCCAGCTCTTTGCGAATCCTAGTTAGTTCTAGAACTTCTTTTTCTTCAGTTTGCAGGGCTTCTTCAGAGAAGTGAACATTCTTTGTGACTATTTCTGATTGAAGCTGTACGAGTTGCATTTTCAAGTCATCCCTTTCTTGTTGCAGGTCAGTAATCTGTTGATCTGTGTTGTTGTCTTCCTGAGTTCTATCAGTCTTGAGTCGAGGGATCCCAGAAGGCAACTTTCTTTTCCCATCTACCTCTCGTTTGTCTCTCTGATGAACGTCAATCGTTTTTTGAATCGTTTGTTTCTTGTGGTTCAGTGCTTGGATTTCCAGCTCCATCTTCGCCTTGTGATCCTTTAGCTCGTTCAATTTCCCTTCCAAACTTGTCTCTTGTATGTGATACTGAGAAACCGCACTTTCTAGTTTAAGTTGTTCTTTCTTTAAGGAGGTTATCACCCTTTCCAAGTCGTCTTTTTGTCTCTGCAACACCCAAATGTCCTCTTTGCCATCTTCTTGTAAAGGGCTTTCGTTGGCCTGATGTAGTACATTTCTTCGGCACTCGAGTTGTACTCTTAAATCCCTCTCAAGGTCAGACTTTTCTTGGCTTAATCTTCGTATGGCGCTTTCTAAGTCCTTTTGTTGCCTTAGCAAGTCAGACACTTTCGTTTGCAATTTGTCAGCGTCCCTATCAAGATCAGAACCGTGATCGCCATTATTTAAAATAAAGCTGTCTTGTGATTGGAAGAGGGTCTCTCTCGTAGCGCTCGGCGTTATTTTGTCTTGCGTGACGTGATCGCGATGCGTAGTACGGGATCTCTCTCGTTGATCGTTGAACTGTCTGTGAACCTCAATCTCCATCGTCGTGTTATTCCGTTTTAGGATAGAGATCTCGTGTTCAAGTTCTGCCTTTTCTCTTTTTATAATAGACATGGTGTCTTCAACTTCTCCTTGCTTTCTCTTTAGATTGGTGATAAAGTCTTCAAGATCTGCTTTGTCTCTCTTCAGTGATCCCATTTGACTGTCAGATTCAGCTTTGTCTCGTTTCAAAGCAGAGATTTCATCTTCAACGTCTAACTTTTTGCGCCTCAGTGTTGCAATTTCATCTTCTAGTTCTTCATTTTTTCGCTGTATGGATGATAGTCGACTCTCAAGATCATACTTCTCTCTTTGCAAAGAGCTCACCTCGCCTTCCCTTCTTCTCAAACTCTCCTCTAAAGATGCCATTCCGCTTTCATTGCTTCCGAATTTAACGTCAAAAAGCTCCGTTGAGTTAGACAATCGCCGCTTTAAGCTGGCTATCTCGTCTTGGAGATCATTCTTTTCACGTCTCATCGCTGACAGACTCAGTTCGTGTTGCTGATTCTCGTACTTTACAGCTGCCAGTTCATTGTCTTTTTCACGGATTATTTCCTTCAGTTTGGTGCCACTGTCCCACCCCTCTGCGTTCGAAATCCGTCCATCGTTCATATCCGTCAGACGTATCTCCTTGCTTCTCAGATTTTCCTCGAGCCTTGCACGGTCTCGTATCAACACATCTCGCTTCTGGGTCAGTGCCGACATCTGTCGCTCAAAATCATCGCACTTAGCTTTAAGTAAGAGTGCATCTCTCTCGTGCTGTTGGAAGATATCGCCTTGAGTCGATTTTTCCAGCATCAACTTCTGCGATAACTCATTTTCAATTCGAATGCGCACCTCTTCCCTTTCAATGGTAATGTTTCGTCTCATGTCTTCTCTCTCCATCTCCAACTGCCTTCGAAGTTCTTCCCGCCTCTCGGCGTATGTGAGTTCCATCTGCGCATTCTCTTGTTTCAGAAGCGCGATTTCCTCGCCCATTTCTTGAATTGTTTCCTCTAATCCTCCCTTTTCTCTGACAAGTCCAAGTTGGTATCTCTCTTCGAGTTTCAGTTTCAAAGCTCGTTTTTCTTCAGAGTACCTCTGCTCCATTTCCGATATTTCCTCTTCAAACCTTTCTTCAAGCTTTCGTCGTTCTTCTTTACCCTTCTTCTCCATTTCTTTTCTTTCTTTTTCCATGATTTCCAAGTCTTCCTTTAGCTTTACGTTGATATTTTTGAGAAGTGAAGTTTCATTTTCAAGACGCATCATAAACTCTGCCTCGAAATTAGCCTTTAAGGAGCTTCTCTGCTCTAAAAAAGCCTGCTCCATTTCTTTTATCTCTCTTTCGAACTTGGTCATTATTATGTCTTTTTCTTGATTCAAATTATCGTTTAGCTCCCTCAGCTGTAACGTTAACTTCGAAATATCCATCTGTAAGTCAGAAATGTTTTCTTCGTATTTCTCTCTTTGTTTCTCCAGCTCACTACCATGCTTTTCGTCCAATTTTCGTCGCGTATCTTGAAGCATCTGCAAGTACTTTTTCTCGATGTCGTTTTTATCCCTTTCCGAATTCATTTCCCATTTCTCCTTCTCGTGACGGAGGTGGTTTTCAGCTTCTCTCTTCTGCCAATGTAGCTCAGAAACAGTTGTCTTCATCTCGGCTATATTTGCCTCGTACTTCATTCTTTCTTGTTCTAACCGGCGTTGATATTCCTCCTCCATTTTTCGCTTAATCTCGCGTTTTTCTAAGTGGAAGGTCCTCTCAAGTGACTCCCTTTCTCTCTCATATTTATCCTCCAAGTCTAGTTCTGGATGCATCTGGCTGGTCAAAGGACCATTATTTATTCTTAGATATACCTCCGCGATTTCGCGTATTAAATTGGAATCCACATCATAAATATCATGGCCCCCATTAGAAACTGGTTGAAAGCTTCCCAACCGCTGTGCGCCCGCTAAGCTCTCCGCGCCTGAAAAAGAGCGAATTTGACCGGTGTCGTGAGAAACTGTATCCGAAACGGCGAAAGCGACACCATTCGCTGTGGATTCTGTGATTCTTGAAGTTTCTATCATTTGGTCCTTGTCCAATTCCAGCTGATGCAGAAGTTGTTTTCTTTCCAGATCAAAGCTCTTTTTCATCCGACGTATTTCCTCTTCATGGCTCTGGGCCAAAATGTCTTTCTCAATAATAAATCCTCTCACTATGTCTTCTATTTCGTGTCGATAATTCTCTTGCGTGCGTGTTTCAAGGCTACCAGTTGTCGTTTCTAGTTCAACTTCCAAATTTTCTACACTCTGTTGTGAACTCTCCATCGTGTTTGTCTTTACCCCATATCGTCTACGCAAAAATGAGAAAATATATTTTAGATATTCAGTGGCATCTACGTACCACTGCAATGATAAATGTGTCGCGTTCCATGCAGAATTTTAATCAGACCTGTAAAATATAATTATGTCAACTGTGCAAACTCCAAAAAACCATATTTGGGAGAATGCTATTGTTTTTTTGACGTTGTTTTATCCCCGCTTATTATTCATATACTTGTACCGCTCTGTGCTTATGGAAATTTATTTCACATTTCGGCGTTTGTATATCATTGTTAAGAAGCTACTTGGTTACCATGGAAACATTAATTAGTAATTTAAAGCACCCTTTTGACACAGAGCCAAATTAGAAAAATTTCCATGACTTATGTTGATACCCGCTCTTAAGGTTTTACCTGCTCCATGAAACAATATTGTAAGAGACATTTTTATAATTTGTCATAGTCTTGATACAATTTTTTTTTTACTCTCCACGCCGCTGATTTGACATGCTTTCTCGTTTATTTGCCCATAATTTCACATCTTGGTGTTAAGATTTGGACCTTTTTATCAATTTTTCCCCATAATTCTTTGAAATTACGCGAAGTCCACACACCAAGATTAATTGAAACGATTTTGCGTTCATCGTTTTTGCCTTGTAGCTGAAGGTTTTCAAAAAATTGAATAATTACTATTTTCAATTATCTAAGATGACATGACAATTAAACAGCTTATCAATCAAAGCGTGATTCTAAAAACAAAATGAGCACTGATAATAGGGCTGAGTTCTGAGTTTTTTATTCTCACGTGGATGATAAAATTCACGAGGATAAAGAAGATGAGAATTGGTCGTGTTCTAGTCTGAAATAGTGATCTGCAAAGGTCTTTCATATAAATTGGCATACTTTTGTTGCGGTAGGAGTCCACCAGCATCAGTTTAAGATCACATTAAGACCTTTCCGGGGCCATAGGGATATTTGAACAGATTCCTAAAAAAATGTGAGTCATTGAAATTATTTAATAAAAGTTTGGAGAACATTTGAATTTTAATTGTCAGCCATATTGGATAAATGAACAGATATTGTGATTTTTAAACCAAGAAGATATTTTCTGTGCAGCGATCGGTAGATATTTACTGATTTTTTTCTTAGACAAGAAGTCACGATAAAGACCTTCGCACTTAAGATGTCATATGGTGTTTTTTTTTTTATCGTTCATGTTAAAAAGACACATCTGTAAACACCAGGGATCGATAAACCGCAAGGAAGATCTTCATAAACGAAAAGGTGAGAATGTTGCAGTGGACAAATTTTTTCCTCGCCACTAATTGTTTTTCGGAGACTGTTGTCGCTTGAGTTCATCACTACTTTGCTGAGAATGGTCTGAAATCATTAAGGTTTGCATCAAATCACGGAAGAGGTTTGCTAGATCTCCGAAAGCCGTATAACTCTTCCAGTAAAATTCAAATTTTTTTTCGACATTAATATCAAGAAGTGTAACGAAGACTTTTAATGAGCGAACTTCTCGACTCTGTGACATAAATTCAGTTTTCTGCTTATGCTAATTATGATTGGACGCCTGTATATTGCAGGTACGGCAGCAGTATTTTGTATGGTTTTCCAGACTTTGCACGGCTATAACATCTATGGGAAGAGGGTAGGGTGAAGGCTGTAATCTTGCTCCAGCGAAAAGGAGTATTACTAGGGGTTAAGTTATGGCTTTGGGACAGCTGTTACTGTCGTATAAGTATTGTTATTACATCCGTTTATAGGGGAAGCGCGAGATCATCTCCTTACTTTACTCCAAATTTTTAGTGACAGCAACCTCAAGAAAATATTAAACTTTGGAAGAAAAATTTAAATTCTCTCCTAAAAATGATAATATTCCATGAGCCATAAACAGATATACCGAAAGGGCAAGATCATACCGAGCTGAGTACAATTCTATAGTTTCAAGATGTCATTAGACCGTCGCTGAAGTTTGGAATTTTATATATCAGTTACATACACAAACGTCAGTTGAGCAAACGAACCTGATGCAATGTGCCTTTTGTCAGATAAACGACATCAAAACTAAGTACTACTCTTAATATGGTTTGATATGGCTAGCGAAAAGCTGTTATAGGGGCCCGAACTGGTAGTTTTTTTCTTCGTCTGGTAATGTTTACATCGTTTATCGTTTTAAGTATCTTGTCATGATGATTTATCTGTGTTGTGTCTCTGATGGTTCGCTTGTGCGGTTTAATTGGTTTCAAACAGATGGCACCATGCATTGGCGTTATAGTCGACCACAGCGTCTGTTTATTATTTGGGGCCATTCTACTCTCCAACAAGGAATAGGAATCACTCTCAAATCGGGAAATTTGAACATTTGTCGTTCAAACGTTATTTTCCTAGGGTAATGACGTTGATCGAGTGAAATTATGGAAGACTTGATTCGGCAAGAGAGGAGATTTTTGTGTCATAAGATGTATCTGTAGTCCTATGACAAATTCACTTTTCACAGTGTTTTACGGTTTCTTTTGCTGTTTCATGTTCACAATATTTTCGTCAAAAAGCACAACTTTGTGATGCAGTTGCTTTTAACCGAAAAAAATGAGTCTTTCACTTTTGTATGCGTCTGTCCTGAGTTGTAAGATTCATTATCTAGATCATGTGTATGCGTCCAGTAAGACAGAATATGAATTTTCCACCGTGGTGTAGAGGCAGTTAAAAAAAAAAGACAACGTCCTTTTCACTCACAGGAATGTGAAAATTGAAAAATAATAACAATGCTGTAAAGCTATCATAGGCAGTAAGAACGGGTGAAGAAAAATCGTTCGGCAACTTCAGCAGCATGCAAAAAAAGGATGTTGTTATCCTTTACTTACTTGTCTTGCTGCAAGTCCAACTTGTTTTGTTAATAACGATTCTTCCACGACAATTCAAAATAGTAAAGCCATTTTAAAATGTAAAACCGAAGGGCACATCCTTTTCTATTTTCTGTTTGATATTTCCTTTATTGACCGATAAGTTGGGAAATATCTGTGAATAGCAGGTGGCAAGCTGCAGACCAATGTTATTGGACCGCTCAAAACCTCAAATATTCCATGAATAGTTCTGATCAGCGTCATCGAGAAGAAACGCTTTGGATCGGGTTTATGACTACTGAATGACGCGAATCTCAGTACGTTGTGTGGCAAAACTGATCAGAGACTCTGAATGATTTGTGGGAAAATTAATATAATTGTGTGCTATTCGCGGAATAGTGATTTCACTCTAAAACAATTTAATATTTCGTCTTTGGTCATGACGAATGAAAGGAACGCTTAGCTATATATCTGACTTCAGCCGCAAATAGTGCTTCTTGTTGCGTACTTGGTAGATGTGCCGACATCGTTAAGTGAACTTACAAGTGATTTTCCGTGCCAAGATGTGCGTTTTGCTTACAGAAAGCTGTCAATGTTTTCGTTTGTGTGCTTAATGGTAATGATCGAGGGATTAATATCTGCAGCGTTGCTAATGCTGGCCAAATCTAGCTCATCACAAAATAAAATGCACACATTCCTTCTCAAGATTCCAATTTTACCTTAGGGGGTCATTCGCTCTCAGTTTATTTCTAGTTTGAAATGTAAATGATGGCACCTTCTAAGGTAAATAAAAAAGGAAATGATAAGACAAAAGGAGAGAGTAGTTGTATTGTCTATATAGCATTCCACACTTAAAAGATGTAAAATCAGCCGTAACGGTTATTCGATAATCCAATTCTTTCTTTACGATTATTAACTTTCTTACCTCTCTTTACACAAGTGCACCCCCTTTGATTCAATTGGCATTTCTTTCAAATATTATGTATTTGATAGCCAAACATACAGATAACCAGGGTGAAAAAAATATTCAAATAGGAATCAAACTGGTTATATCATATTTTCCAAATATAATCCTAACTTTGTTAACTTTTGAAATGATGTTGAACAGAAACGTGAGGCTGAAAGGCATAAACTAATATGCACAAACTGATCTTTCTCTGACCTTCCAGCTCATCGTTAATTATTTTCACAGTACGTAAGAGAAGTGCAAAAACAAGGAAATCACATGATAAAAACAGCAGTTCACCAGATAAGTAAGAATTTATTCCTCCTCAAAACAAAATACACTGTATTTACTCACCCTAAGATATACTTCTTTTCGCAATTGTAAATCTACCACGAAATGATGACCTTAAATAATGTTTCTATTCAAACCTAACGATTCCGAAAGAATCATTCAAAACAGCTTACGAATATCGTGCAGAGTACTGTACGTGTAGATGCAATCGCATGCAAAAACATGTTCGTGGATTTGCAACATTGTGTTCTCGGATCAAATAATTTACGTTTCCTTTTTAGAATCAGCTGAAAATGATTTGTTATGTCGCCTGAGCGGCTCGGTTTTTTTTTTTTTCAATTTTTATCTTCCTTGACCTCTTAAAATTGATTACTTGATGCTACCAGTACGTTTCCGCCTGAGACGGAAAAACCCTATTTTACGAGTACCTGTGTAGAGCAAAAGGCTTCAGTTAAAAGTTTAAACCCTATGAGATTGACTCCAATATTTACCAGTGCAATACCGAAAGACAGGCCTAACCAAGCGAATATAATGCTCCTTTTGTATCGTTTCTCATTCATTTCTGTTTGTGTCAATTAAGGAATTGTTTCCAAACATAAGCTGCCACCACTGGAGTAGGGGCCAGCAATTAATCACTACATGTACAATCACGTAGGTCATATTAATCTACAGTTCCCCAGTCGAAGACAACACATCATAATGTTGTTGACTTCGTGCTTCCCCACTGTGCTGCATTCTGTGAGGATTTCTATCGCTGTGGTACAATTCTCTCTCCCGCAGATCGCGTGAACGTCTCTCAAAGTGAGCTGATCTCTGAGGAAATAACAGCAAACATACAATTATGTTTTACGGCAATGTAATGAAGTATGGCGAGAGCGAAATACTTACTCTTTGTGATCCCCCAGGTTGTATCGTTGCGATAAAATTCATCCTCGTCCGCCACTCGCTCCTCTCTTTTTCGAACTGCTCCTCCATCTCTTCTCTTTCCCTTTCAAATTCTGCTTTCACCTTGCTTTTTTCTTGGCGGGCTTTGGTCTTCATTTGGGAAAGATCGACATGGAGCTTTTCGATCTCTTCCTCCATTTCTCTCATTCTGCCTTCGTGATGTTCCTTTTCTCTCCTTATCTGCTCCTGGTATTCATTGTCCAACTTCGCCAAGACTTGTGCATTATTTTCCATTGATAACGGAACACTGACGTTTGCGCGACCTTCTCTGTTAGACATTTGACTTTGTAGTTGTTTCCTGTGCTCTCGCAGCCGTGCTATCTCTTGGCGGAGACCTTGTAGTGTGCTTTCAATGTTTTCTTTTTCCTTTTGCAGTTTGCGCCTATAATCCTCTTCCATGGTGGCCTCCATGTCCTTCTTAGCTTCTGCAAGAGAGTTAGCCTCAGAGGTAGCGTTTGCCAGCCGTTTCTCAAGCTCTGCTTTTTCCGCTTTAAACTTCAGTTTCATTTGTTTCATCCTTGCTTCAAAATCTCCGCGTAGTTCTTCCCTTAAAATTTCAGATTTTGCATTTTCACTCTTCACTTTTTCTATCCATTCTTCTTCGATTTGATTAATTGTGTCAAGTTTACACTTTTCCCATATCTGCCTCATCTCTTTCTTTTCATTTTCAAAAGCTTCCTCCATTTCTGCTTTGTCTTTTTTCTGTTTCTTTTTTAGATCCTTCTTTTCCTGTTTTCCTTTTTCAAGCTCTTTCGTTAATGCCTGCATCGTGGCCTCCAATACATTCTTTTCTCTTTCGAATCTTCTTTTCATTTCATTCCTTTCACTCTGCATTTCTTTTACCTTAGTTTTCATTTGTGCAAGTGCCGTGTTGTATTTTTCTTCCGTTTTCTTTGCTATGTCTTTTTGCTCTTGTACTTTCTGAGAAACGAGATCTTGTATTTTGTTTTCAAGACCAGTGCTCCTAGAAGACAAATTATTCGAAAAATCTTGTTTTATTTTCTCTTCCAGCTCTTTTTTCTCCTTTTTAAATCTTTCGGCTAGTTCTGCCTCCTCTTTCTCGTGTTTTCGTCGGATATCGTCTAAGTGGTCTTCATAGTATTTCTTGTTTTCTTCCATTCTTCTTTTGAAATCCTCTTTCAGTGCCTCCTCGAGCTTCTGCGTTTCCTCTCGCTGTCTTTTTTCCAAATCAGTTTTTTGTTTTTCGTACTGCTTATGAATTTGAGCTAGTTTCTGTTCAAGTTTCTGCTTCTCGTTTTGAAGACCTTTTATCTTGTCATTTGCCTCGGCAATATCTCTTATGGCATAATTTTCGTCCTCGCTATAACCTTCCTGAGGTGCTTGGTCATAGAAGAGGTCTATTTGTAGATCTTGATAACTACTAATGGCGTCTGGTGGTGATCTTGCATTTCTTTCAATTTCTATAATGCGTTGTTCCAACTTGGCTTTTTCTTTCTCAAATCGAGACTTCATGGCCTCCTTCTGGCGTTGAAACTCATCTGCCAACTTCCTTCGTTCATCTTCATTCTTCTGCAGGTCGTCTTCGTATCTGGACACAGCACTTCGGAGCATCTGTTCCCATTCCTCAGTTACCCTTCGAACAGCTCCAGCGTTGTTATTCAACTCATCCTGCAGTTGTCGGTACCTTTCTCGTTCTTTAGCCAGCTCCGAATTATGCCTTTCAACGAGTTCTTTCGTGTCGTTCACATATTTCTCCTCTGCTGCCCTTTTTGCGTCTTTAAGAGTCCTTATATCGCATTGGAGATCTTCTATTTCATTGTCCAGTTTCTTGCCTCTTGCCTTTTGCTCTTCCAGACGTCTTTCAGTTTCATCGATTGCGTTTTTCTTGTCCAGTTCCATAGATGATGTTAATTTGGACTTCTCATCGGCAAACTCTTCCTCCATCATTTTGATCTTCTTTGTTAGCCGTTCAACTTCGTCGCTGAGATAGGCATTATTCCCTTCTACTTTATTCAGATTTTTAGTGATATCATCGATTTCTTCAATCATGTCGTCCAGTTTCTTTTGCATTTCGCTTCGCTTCTTTGTGTTTCGAGCAATTTCTTCTTGTAGCTCTTCGTTTTTATCCTCGAGTTCTCTCATCTTAGTCACATCTCTACCTACCCTCTCTATCTTTTCCTTCAAATTGATGTTCTCTTCTTCTATCTCTTTATTTCTTCGCTTCATAATGCTGTTGTATTTTGTTACTTCCAAGACTTTCTTCTGCAGTCTGTTGGTGTCACCGCTGTTATCTTCTGTGAGTGTGGTACTATTCCATGACCGTTCTTCACTTTTAGCGCGGCCTTCATTCATGTCTGAAACAATGTTATCCCTCTCTGGCTCGTTATACTGCTTTTCTTGTATAGTGCTCTCTAAAAGACCTTCTGGTTCCATGTCATTGAAAGCACCCTCAAAAATACCCGACTCCGTCGTGCTTTCCATTACAGAAGCGATCGTTTCTCTTGGAATATCTGCCATTCTTCTAATTAGCTGTTCATTTCTTTTCCTCTCCTCATCCAGTTCAGCCTTCAGTCGCCAGTTTTCGTTCTCTCGTCCTGCAATTATTCTTGCCTTCTCAGTTTCAACCGATTCTCTTAACAGTTCTTTTTCTTTGGCGTGCTTCTCCGAATCTTCAAGCATTTTACTTTTCAGCTGCATTAAGTCTTGTAGTAGAGCTTCGACATTTCGACTGAGCTTGTTTTTTTCCTCTGTTTCTTTTCTCAAGCGTTCTTGCAAGTCCTCCATTTTTCGACGAGTCTTGGCTTCCACCTCCAGTTCTTGTTTTTGTAGTTTTTCAACTCGATTATTCATGTCATGGATTTCTTTTTCAAAGCTGTTGTTGCACTTCTTCAGATTGACAATAACCGACTCAAGTTTTTCTTTCTTAAAAACTTCTTGTTCTAATTTAGACTCGAGCTTGCTTACTTTTTCTGTAAACTTAGCTTTGATATCCACCATCTTAATGTCATTCTGACTCAATAATTTGGCTTTCTCTTTGTTCTTATTTTCTGCCTTTTTCAGGTTGTCTTTCAGGATTTCCATTTCTTCCTCTAAGTCAAATTTCATCTCTTCCATCAATCTCTCCTGATCCTTCAGCATCCGTTCCTTCTCCCTTAATGCTGTTTCTAACTTAAGCTTTTCCTTTTCTAGCTTCACGTATTCTTCTTTGGGAACATATTTGTCCAAATTCTCAACGAAGTCGTTGAGTGGATCACTCATGGGGGCGTCTTGCAGGTGGTCTATTATTTCACTTAATTTCTCATTTTCTTTCGCCAAGATGGCGATATCTAAAGCGTAGCCATTTTTCCCGGGAGAGCAGCCATTATTATCATCACTTAGGGAGGCAATTCCCGGTTCTTTTGAGCTTTCAAAACTCTTTACTCCAAGACTTGAAGTCGTAACTTTTCCTTGTGTATTTCCTCGTTTTAGCCGTTGGTTTTCTTGTTTTAAATTCCTTATTTCGTCCTCGAGTTGAGAGGACTTTAAATTGAATCTTTCCTCGAGGAAATCCCTTTCTATTTTGTCCTGCCTATATCTTCGTTCAAAGATCGCTTTTTCTCTCTCAATCTGTCGTATTTTTGCCTGGTTATCCCTCTTCTCTCGCAACATCTCATTGATCCTTGCGTCGCTTAAGTCTTTGTCCGCCATCCACTTGCTGGTCTGCAATTTATGGTCGGTACCTGTTCCGTACGGGTACGAATGAAAATCATCAATTTCATCTGAAGTTTCGCTGACGGTGTCGGTGAATCCATCGGGGTTATCGTTCCTAAGCTGGCTCATGGCCTCTTTCAGGATCCTGTTTTCTTGAAGTATGTTTGACATGTCGCGACCGTCATCGGAAAATATCGATGATAAGTCATCGTCACCATAGAAACCGCCTGAAACTCTATCGTTTGCAAGGAAGTCGTCTTCCAAATAAGACTCGTAAGTGGCCCTCTCCTTTGAATGACTATCTTGTACCTCATCTCGCGCAAGATCGCCTTCATCGTCGTGTATTTCAGAATGCAATGAAACATTGTCCATTTCCGACCTTTTCTCCTCATCTTTAATTCCATCTCGTTCAACCGCTTCTGGAATTGATCGGTTTTCCTCATCGTCATAATTCTCCTGTCCTTCCTGAAAACCACTTTCCCGGCCTTCGACGTCATCAAAGTGTTCTGTGGTCCCTTCGCTTCCCTCGCCATCAATATGTGAAGGTGCATCCTCCACTTCACTAGTATTGTTTACCTGAGCGTTTTGTTCGAAGTTGTTATCATGTTGTTGCAAATACCTGTCAGGATTATCGGTTACAATCTCTTCGATTATGCTACGGTCTTCATTCTCCTCGTCATCCTCTTGGTCGTTATAGGAGTTTGAATCTTTTTTTTCTAAGGTGCTGTTTTCCACGATTTTGGAGGTTTCAGATTTTTGAAATTCATCCTTACTCTCATCAAGATTATCAGTTACAATCTCCTTTTCGACTATGCTACGGTCTTCATTCTCCTGGTCGTCATGGAAGTTTGAATCTTTTTTTTCTAAGATGCTATCTTCCACCATTTTGAAGGTTTCAGATTTTTGAAATTCATCCATACTCTCATCCAACTCTATTGGCATTACCGAGATATCTTCTTCTTCTTCTTGTTTTTGTTGATGATTTTTGTCTGCCACATCCTCATGCTCAGTTAGTAAATAGGTGTCCTGTAGATCCCTGCCTGAAGTAGTAGGCAAATCTTCCTCCAATACAGAACCCTGAGGTTTAGATTCGAGCTCATTTGACGATTCTGGGTCAGTTGTGCCAGATATTTTCTCTTCCACTGAAAATCCGTCTGTTTCTTGTCTTGAATCCTTTTCATCTCCATCGATCTCCGCTGCTGACATTTCATGGTCGAGCAAGCCACCGGTGGCCAAGTCAGCATCATTTTCTACAAACGCTGTCGCAACATCATCCTCGAGACCTTTAATGGTGTCTTGATCTCCACCTCTGGGTATCTCTAGTTGTGCGCAATCTGTATCCTGTTTTCCTTCTTCAGGATCACTGTCATTTTCTAATTCATCAGGTTCTTTGTAAGCTGATTCTTTGTCTTCTGGCAGTGCTTCGTTTACTTCCTTGCCTGAGGTTGCATCATCTCCATCGCTTTCTGTAATATTGGTTTTTTCTGTCGCGACTGAAGTAAAAGAGTCATTCTCCTTTTCAGTAAATCCCTCTTCGGCTGGTTCATCCATTTAATCAAGGAAAGACGTGTTCCAAATTACAGTCAAGCCCAGAAAATTATTGTCAAGCCCAAAATTTAAACTGGTAGTCGTTACTGAAGTTCAGTAATGATTACCGCCGAAAAGATACTCGAGTTTCTTGTTTCTCAATAATGGCAACTTATTCGCAGTACAGAACCAGCAAATGGCAGGGATCCGTGCTTGAGAACTTGCTCAAACTTCTGTTTCGTCCAGAAATTTCGAACTTTGTTTGGCATAGCTTCGTTTTGTATACAACCCAAAATACCTTTGCATCGCGTTGACGATGTGCCAAGCGCTTTGAAAAGGATTTCAAATAATTTATTCCTTTGCAATGAAAAGTATTTTTCTACATAATCCGCGTAATAGTGCTAAACGTGCCATGAAAATTGAGTTCATGGGATGATATCCAGAAATTACCAATTTCTTGAATAATAAGTATAGGGATGAAAACAGCCACCAGACGAGCAAACACCTCCCTTGCCAAACGTTTGCATGTCAAATATCGCGTTATTATTCCTAACCATATCCGAGTGCATTTCGCAATGTAGAATTTAGCTTAACGTACCTAATCTTATGAAGTATTTGTCAGTCGAATTCTATTTTGGGTCCATGCAGAAAAAGTATCTCTGTATATACCTTTAGACTTTGTTTTCGTTTTTTCACAAGCCAAATTCTTGAAACCTCAAAACCGCAATTTTTCATTTGTATGCATTTGTAATTTGTATGCACCAATTTGTGAGTGAAACCTGTTGTTTTTGCAGACAACTGACTTTCTTGTAATTCGGTATTTTTCTAAAGTAAAATATATTTTCTTTTAATGAATTTCCAAGCTGTTGCCGCTGAATCTTTTGCTAGAGCTTCAAAAGAACTTTCGAAATCACTAGCACACACTTTAGGTCACTTTTTGAAAGGCAGGAAACCATTGCTTATTGCTGGTGGCAAAATCCGAAAACAGAACACCTCCTTTAACGATACCATAATGTGGTGCAGACTAAAAACATTGTTCGAGAATATCCTTAGTTACTTGACCAAAACCTGGTAAAATTGTATTTTGGCTCATTTCTGATGACTGATGTTAACTTGTTAGTTTTCGTCGTTGATCAGTCTAATGGATCTCATTACTATCTCATGAAAAAGTGTATTTTTATATATATATATATATATTTTTTTTTTTTGTTTAATTTACGGGCTAAATATCCTTTTATCTCTCTTGGAAATGTTCACGGCAATAGTCCTAAAGTAGAGATAACCCTGTTCATATTTTCGCGTTTGCTTTATGCGCTCCAATTCAGTTATTTCTGATATTCTATCTTAGCTCATACCTGTAGGAAAAGCTGTGATTCGTACATCTCTTTTTACTACTATCAATATGACCATTTCTGCTCAAGACTGAGGCATATTTCTAGCTCTAATACAAGCAAAGTCACAAGCTTTGGACTCATTGTTTACTTTTAATTTATCGCAGGCGGGAGTGGGGGTGTGACACTTAATTTTTTTTTTGTTTTATAAACAAAGAAGAGTTAAATTGTACTCACTTTTGCATAAAAAATGAATTATTGAAATGATATTTCTGCAGATTTTTTTTTTTAATAACTTCGAAATAAGTTCTCGTTATCGATTCCATAAATTCAGTTTTGTTTTCGGCTGACTTTGCGACTGACCCCAGGTATATAACCAATGAACGCGATTGAGAAGGGAATTACACATGCTGAAGTCGACAGAATAAATTGGCCATTATCCGAGAGCCAATCAGAAACCAAATACTCCTTTCTTGAAAAGCGTAATTCAAGATGTCTTATTCTTGTTATGTCAAAGGGTTTTCTTAAGTGCTTTGAAAATAATTTTCATTTGGTCGAATGCAAATGCCTTCACTGCCTTTCTTCTACGCTCAAAAATGTCAAAAAAAATACCAGCCGACGTTTTGAAAAGAATGGTATCAAAGAAATTTTCCTTGTTTCTTACACTTGTTAATAATTTATACCAATACATACTGAAAACGCCTACGACAGTTTTTTTAACTTACAAAATGAAAACATAGGCGCCGAAGCTGGTACACGTAGTTTTTGCTTTCAGTAACTTTCCAAGTGATACTGTAAATTGCACCGGGAAATTGGTAAGCGATTCTTGCATAAGTGCCCGGGAAGAGGCCTCTAGAGGATGTGAGTTTTCAGTCTTCGTGCGGTGGGAAGATAGAGTGCGAGAAGCGTTCCTATAAGTGTTGATTACGCAAACATTAAATTAAAAACGTTAGAAGATACCACTTACAAAGAGTCACGTCACGCGTGTTCCGTATTCTATGGTCGACATCCTGTCTATCAGGAATTCTCTGCACCTAAAACGTAAATGAAAATCAATTAGTTGTAAAAGAAAGCAGAAGAAAGTTGGCAAGGAAACTTGCTCCGCAGCGAATGATGAATACATGATAAAGTATTGCCACCATTCGGTGATAGGTTAAACAAAAGATTACGGAAATTGTGTTTTTCTGCCTGTTATTTTTCTTGATAGTTCCGTCTTTGAGTAAGATTAATTTGAAAGTAAGGTGGAAAATTAAATTCTCAAAGCTATGCTCGACTTCCTGCATTACTAAGAGTAATCCAGCGTATGGCAGGCAAGCATACACGTTGAGCAACAAATAGTTTTGATTAGATGTAAGCGACAGATCATGGGTTCAACTCATGTCGGACATACTCCAAGTTGCTTTCTTTGAGTATGCCGACTTCCCTTACAGTAAGAAATCATCCCCGTTACCTTCTTATCTCCATAATTGCGCAGAGGAATGACATCATTTTCCAATTCATATTAGTATGCAGAATGCAATCCAATGAACTTTAGTTCAAAGACCCGCCACTCTTATTAGAAGATCCTAAACTCGATTCCCGTAGCGATCACTTGGAATTTCTTTCCAGGATATGGCAGTATACACTATTACTTGACTTTTACAGCACCCGTGCTCAGTCAATTTTCTTGTGTTCTCTTGGCAAGTCCACGTAACAGGATAGAAAACTTGCTGGGGTATAAATTTCCTTAAACCATTCTCATTTTCTTTGGCTAGTGTCCCTATGAAGTTGTCAGCATTAACAAATATCCCCCCTCCGCAATTTTTTCTGTGATATAATCAGCCTGTCTATTGTTGGACACGTCAACGACTTCCTTAGAAATAACTTGTCATACTTTTCTTTTATTTTTTTTTGTACACTTTGTCCCACGCGACAAGACAGGACGAAAAAAATCTTCTCTACTTCTCTTTTTATTCGCCAAGATTAACTTGTCAAGGAAAATGTTCTCACTGAATACTTCGCTCAAGTCGTGGCTCTTCTTCGCGTCTTATTAGCATGTAGCTTATCAAGAACTGGTGCGTTTGCGAATAAAAGTTGTCCTTACTAAATTGTTTTTAGAATATTAATGCTGTCTGAAATGGACAGGTGTTGTCAGCTGTATCAATATAGTTAAGATAGAGGGTCTCTTACCTAGATACTATCTCATGAGGAAGTTGCGCAAGAAACACCGACAAGTATTTTTTGGGTTTTTCGTCTTACTTTATTCCAAATCTTAGTAGGTAAGTTTTCCTTGAGATGTATTATGCTCATTGGTGGAAAAAGTGAGGTTATCGTCATTTTATCGTCGGGTTGTCGTCTCAGGTTATCGTCTCAACGTGAATATTGTTCGATTGAGAGAGGTTCCGCATATTCTACAGCTGTCTACGTATTCAGTCGTTCTTGAAACTGAATTTAACCTCAAAGAAAACTTTCCCCTAAATCTAGGCTTGATGATATGCGATGTACTTTCGTTTAAAAAAGCAACCTTTTTGTAGTAGTTAGAGAAATACGTCATCGATATAGATGCAAATTTGCTCTGTTATAAATTTTGCCCAGTGTTTAAGCATGCTAATTGCTTATCTTGGCTTGGTTAACGAGGCAGGCATTACCATGGAAACTCAGTGAGGCTAGTATCTTTTCTTAAAATACATTTCCAGTTTACTCAAACTAAACGAAAAGAACTGATATGGCTCTAAAAGGATATTCTCACCTTATCTGTTTTCAATTAAACCAACTCGAAATTTATGGCACGCAGTTAAATCTTCATTAAGCATTCTGATGGCTTAGTCAAAAGAAAATCATCAGCTTTTTTTAGAGTTTTAAAAAAAAATATATATATAGAGAGAGAGAGAGAGAGAGAGAAAGAGAGAGCACCATTGTCTAATAGCTTTAATTGTTAAAGATTTTCCATGTTACGCAAAATCTAAAAGCGAAAGTATCATAATCTATGATGTTTATTTGGCCTAACATTGACTAACATTTCATGAAAGCTCCGTCATACAGAGGAAAAGCGATAGCAAGATTAGCCGCCCATTTTTGCATGTCTTAAATAATTTAGCCGCTTTTTGTGAACGTGTTTCATTGTGAGCATCAATAATGCATGCCACTTCAAGATGAACCAACACTAGAAGAACCTTAATTTCGCAGAACCAGTTTCAACTTCCTATCTGTCGATCACAAGAGAAGAAACTAAAGAAGAAGAGAAGAAGAAAACAATTCGATCTTCTCAGTCGCATTTCGATTAATCCCTCAAAAAACTAACAGTTCTTTAAAAAAAGACGGAACATGATCCTTCTTTAGGCGACGCTTGACCAGATGACGCCATCGCCTGAAAAAAGCCGACAAATGTATGGAAGTGACCGCAAACAAATAACCTATCGCTTTGCATGTTAAACTTCCCGATCAACTCTGTAAAAAAAATACTGAGGTTGATTACAAATGGATCTTTGGCGGTAGAATGTTTATCCATGAGTGTGTGTTTGGAAAAAACAGTTTATCCTCAAAATCTCAGACCGGGCTACGCAGGCTTAAGTAGGGACCAGGGAACAGAGAGCTTGAGAAGTAATAGACTCAAAATAGATGGTAAAACTGATCCACGCTTTCGACGCAACAAAACAGACAAATTTGTTTTTCCCAATTTTTTTGATGCCATATGGTTGTTTGGTTTCTATATATAACAAGTGGTGTAATTTATTGGCGGCTATGTAGTGACATTTCACAAGTTCCCATCCGCGTGACCTCCCCTTTATTTAGGAAATATTAATTAGGCCTCTTAACCCTTCAGCCTCTAAGTAAGAGTGACTAACATCTAATTTCTCCTTGCAGTATCACCCCTGAATCAAACATTAAGGTCGTGAGAATAATGGAAATGATCAACAAGTACTGGAGCTCTTGATTGTTAAGCAAAATCTCCTTATCAGAACTTTAGGAAATGTATAGAAAAAAGTATGGAGAATCGCGGGTGTCCTTCGGGAAAAAAATTGCACGCGCGCTAGCTTCACTTAATCCAACAAACTATACAACAGAAGAAAGCTTCATAACTGTGGGTTACGATAAAAATATGAATTAAGCGACTCTTTTTTTTCAAGGAAGTGTCAGGAGCTGGTAAGGTGTGAAACGACCGAAAGTTTTTCAATTGAATTTATCTGGTATCGGATGCCGCAGCAAAAGCTAAGTGACTGCTCAGTCTTATTCACAAGGCAACAATCAACGAAATTTTGTCAGGCTTTTTCGATACTCTGCTTGGTTGTCTAGTTATCGGCATCTTAAGTGGGAGTAGCTAAAAATATCGAGGCGAGTTGCGTATATGGACACCACGGGACACATATTTCAAATATCGAAGTTTCTCGACACACTTTCGTTTCTCATTATTCCCGGAATGTTTTGGCGAAATTTGACGAAAATCGGTCAAATCTATATGCTCTATAAATTCTCTCAAAGTGGTCGTATTCCTCCCAAAATCAAATGCGAGATTTTAGCTCATAAAGGTTCGCAAACAATTCGCGCCACGCCAGGAATATTCCCATACAAACTCTTATAATTTCGCCATGGCTCTTATTTCACAAGATGATCATCTCACAGCTGGAGCTTGGGCCGCCTGTAGACGGAGCTACTGACACCTTTTTGTGTAGTGTTACAACAATTGACAACTCGTTTTCTACAGTACACGTATCCCAGGAGTTAAACGGCGGTCACCGAATTAGATTTGAGTTCCTTTTACAAGGACATAAAGCAAACATTGCTAACATTAAAGCATCGATCACCGAAATGTCAGTACCTCAGCAACGTGTAAAAAAAAAGTTTCGCCTTTCCACCCACAATTTATGTTGTTGTCTACGTTTGGTAAAACCGACAAAAATGCAAGAAGCAACATTTGTGTCAGACAGTTACTATTGTGCTTTGCACTTTTAGTCGATTGTCCACAATTGTTGAAACGTTGAGAAAAAATGATAAGAACCACGTGATGGAGGCATTATGTACCTCTCATAAAGCAATTTTTCTAGGAAATATCAGACATTGAAAACGACAGATTTGTCACATATTAAAATGGTAAGGAAGCCATCAATACATCCTTTAGAATTTGACAAGTTTTGAGAACAGTCTTAAGAAAAGAAAAAGAGAAAGTGTTACAGGCCTTTTTGATAACGTGATCCAGTTTTCTCAGAGCCTTTATTGGTCGAATATAATGATGTGTGTATGCTTATGAGAGTGCGATTGTAAACAAAAGTTTTCCTATAATAATTGACGATCTCCTAACTAGTACATTTAATTAATTACGTTTTTCCTTTCAACAATTTTCCCTTCCACGATTTTGTCGTACGCTACTTTTTCGTTATTTGTCATACCCTGCTGTTATGCTGGAAATAAAACAAAACTTACAAAGATCATGCTCGAATTAGTAACCTCTAAAAAGAGCAGTGGGAAGCAATTTATCGGTCTATTGCCATAGCACGACAGGTGAATCAAATTAATTTTCCCTGTCGGTGCTTTACTTCTCTCTTTGAAAATCATCATTCATCTCCCGGTGACGAAAACGCAGGAATAATAAGCAGACGAGTTTGAGAATTTTCTGTGTCTACTGCTTTTTTTTTTTCATTAAAAATTAGCATGTAAGATGCAAGTGGCTGGATGTTTGTCAAAGAGCCTTTTGTTTAGTTCCTTGAAAATGTCCTCCTGAAGGTCTTGCAGCCAGCTGCACATCTACAAACTGTGCACAATATACCCACCAACATTTGCATATTGGTTTCATTGTGGAACAAAGCACGGCTTGTGTTCTCGTTCGATGTTCACCGAAAAATATTGCAAAGGCGTAATGATGGAAGTAGCCGCCATTTGAATCAGTTCCTGTTATCCAAGGTGTGCTAAAAGTTAACTTGGCATGTTTCTGGTGTGAGAAGCTTTGAAAATGTCTAGTGCTGAGTTACATTCGGTGATAAATAAGGGTTTATCTTCTTTCAGTTGCTTGCAAACATCTTCCTACTGAGAAAACTGCCAAACACAAAAAGCAAACAAAGAGCTAAAAAGGCTAGACGAGAAAAAAGCCAGACTTCTAAACGACTCGAAGACGTAGGTTTTGAACCAAAATGATGATATGCGGCTTACGAAATCGCTCCCTCTTGTTTTGCATGATCTCAGTAATTACATATAGGATATTTTACCACCCTATGAAGTAAACTCATCCATCAAGGCCCTATAACGTTAATTCTTTATATTTGACGTACTGTTGTCTTTACGACTACATATCGTAGCCAGATTTCGATACTACTGAGCTTCATTTCTATAGCTTTACTAAATAATATGCTGACATTCTGTGCGTTTTGCACTTTTAGTTTGTAATACCAGCTCATGTTTTAATTTTTCACCAAATAGACAGCTTTTTTTCCTCTGTCGGTTCACTCTGTTTGACCTTGTAAAACCCTTCCGCGACATACCGTCTAGATTACCACCGTAAATTTTTAATTGTAGAGGAAATTCGCATAGGCATCTGAATAAACTTGCTATGTTTGTTGATCTGGCAGAGTTTTATTTATCTACTTACTTGCTGTTAAGGCGAAAAAACATCATCTCGATTTTAAAAATCGTACAGGCTACCTGCTGGTTATGAATACTCTTTATTCTGTTGCTTACTAGGATTCTGCCAAGAGATTTACACAGAACGACCCATTTGGCTTCATCCGGTGTAAGTGCTCTCTTTTTAGTCATCTTTTTCATTCATTTTATTTTGTTTTATGTGAAAAATGTGCGATTTGAAAGGCACAAGCGAGGGCTTCCCTCGATTTTAAGAGGCATTCAAGTGCATCTTATGTGAACATGATTAACTTAAAAACAATTAAGACGACGGCAAAGCGAATAGAAAAAACTTACAAACAAAAAGGAAGCAAGATTTTCCCACTGGAAAAACAGCGTGCACAACAAGCAAAAGGAGAGCACCATTTGAGGGTACATAAATGAGGAAATTGCAAAGTCAAACTTTTCTGTTTTCTAACTATTAAAGATAACAGACAAAAATTTGATGGTAATACTACTCAAAGGGTTTTAGAGAAAAAAACTATTTGTAGAAATCACTTGGCCCCGTTGATTTGCTTCAAAATTTTCAAAAAGTGACCACTTTGCTTGTATCTTTGCAGTACCTCAGCAGAACAATTTTTCCTGAAAATAAGAAAGATCGTACTTAAATACTTTCCTTGACCTAACCCTTTTCTCTGAACGCAATTTGAAGGTTGATAACAGTGTTATTGATTTTAAAAAATTTTTGCGCTATCAGGGCTTGCACCCAAAAGTCGCACCTTTGGTTGCATAATTAACCAGTCGACTGTGGTTTAGTGTGTTCTGTACTCTTATCGACAACGATATTCGTTGTCAGTGGTCAAAATGTTGTGGACTCGCGAGGTTCAGCTGTATTCTGATCGACAACGGCAAATTCGCTAATTAGATTGCAACATTACTGCCAATTGTGGTAAAGAAGGCGATCCATGCCTGAAAATATTCATGTTGCGTTTCAAAATGGAACTCGTCGATAATCAGCTCTATTTAGCGACAGTCACAGTACTCATTGAATCTCTCCTTGTTTTGTAGCGGAAGTAAAAACCTAAATTAAATTATGATTTGTAATCTTTGTAGTTACGTAAGCTTAGTGTTCATAATTATCGATCAAGAAATTCCTCGGCAAACTCGTTTGGATTGGTAGAGAGGAAAATTCACTTTAATTTTACGGGAATTCTCCTTTTAAGACAGCGGTTTTAGCCCAGTCCTAGCCCAGTTTGTGTCGCGAAATATTTTCGAGATAAAAACGCGGTCTTCGATTCGCCGAAAGAATCAATATCCTAAAGCCTCGTCTTAATATTGGTAATCCGTGGTCAAATTTACATATATTTGTAATATTATCCTTTTGAGCGATTGGCATCCCGCTGTTTTCGATATAAACTTGAGCACAACGATAATAGTACCATAAGCATGATCAGGTATCGGGAGGTTATTAACAAAGCCGCCAGTGTAAGATGTGGCACTCTAGTTGGTTTGTTTCCTTCTTTAAGTTTGAACCAAAATCATTTGAAGCACCATACATGTTCAAGGTAGTAATAAGCTCGTGTGAATCATATTTCTAAACGTTCCAGCAGTTGTAGTAAGTCATGTCTTTTCTATGTTCAAAAAACTGTTGACATGTAACTTGCGTGTGATACTGCAACTCGAGGATATCTTCGCCCGCGCTGTTACGACAGCTACATATCACACATAATTTTTAACCGCTAAAAGTGCAAGTCTTGTTTGTAAGAGAAACGTATTTATCAAATGTTATCGCCTTGCCACAATGGAAATGATGAGAGAGAGTTCCTAAGAACCGTCTCGGTTCAATGCAAGTGAGGTCGAATTAGAAACGATAAGAATAAGTGATTTATATTAGGAATGAATATCTCTTTAATTTTATTGACAGGTTGAACCAGATTTTACAAACAGGAAGGGTGTCTATAGTGATATTTGCTAAATCATCTAGACGTCATTTGGGTTAAATTCTGTAGAACGTGACCCGGAAAATTGAAAAATCCTTCAACTTTTTAATGCTATTTATTACGTTCCTTTAGGAACGAGCTTTATTCAAATACCTTTCTTTGGTATGGGACGCACTTGAATTGTTCTAACTGCTTTCGTGATGTGGACGCAATACTTTTTCCTCCATCTAGTGTGTGGGAAACACAATGCGTAGATTTTCTGTCGCATTTGTTAGTACTAATGCAAACATAGCATTGTGCCCTTCTTTCAACTTTAAATGTTTTGAGGATCATGACACCATATCTTGTTTCAAACTTTTTAATATGACAAAGCCATTTGTAACTTTTCTTTTGTAAGAAGCTATTGCTAAATTTCATTCTGTCAATTTTGGAAAGCATAGTCTGATGGTTTCGGCAGGAAGCTTTGTTTTAACTTTTTGTTTTGTGATGAAACTGTTTTGAACTGTATGCCAGATTAGGAAAAACAAAGGAGATTTACATCGCAATAAACAGTTTTCAATCTTTAAATGTAGGATGTAGAGGGGAATAAGAAAGTTATGGCATTGAGTGACCAAACTTAAATTCAGATATTCATTTCAAAATTGTCCTTATATGAAAGTTGTCTAAGAGTCACGAGAATTTTTCATTAACATCTATTCGTTTCCATTTATCTGAAAAGTTACAAACAAAACGTGTTAAACAATACCTCTATCTACCTTCATTTTTTAAAAGCATTCTGAACACTTTAAGTGGTTTATCGTTACCAACCACTCGCACGCAAACTTTTCAATCAACACGTGTGCAGTGATCTTCCGGGATTTATTCTAGTCCTTGGCATGTTTATGTTCTTTCAGCTTCAGATTTGAATTTTTTAATGGATCAAGTTATTGAGATTTTATTTCATAAAGTGCGTGCTCTGTTTTCGTTTTAATATGCGACTTTGTGCACGTTTGTGACAGAACATATAATTGCACCTGCTAATACCCTTTGTAAAGCAAAGGTTCATCTGCTCCTCAATCGGTTGATAGTTCAGGCATTATCGAATTCTGAGTTTTCTCGCAATCTGTTCAGCAACTATGGATCGTCTACTTTGGGAACTTTAGTCGTTTTTCGAACAACGGGGAACTGTGTACATTAGAACAGATTGCTTGCAAACGTACATTTGGATGTTTACATTGCTAGAATAATATTTCAAACCACTATTCGTGACCTTCTCCTTTCGATATCGAGGAAGGAGATCTTCACAGGGGCTAAATGATTGAGGTAAAAATTGTGAGATATTTTTAAGGGGAGGTTATTGCCCAGTCATACTGGTACTGTTATCAGAAGACTGAAGTGTCACAAACGCCTTCTTAATTATTTTTCCTTTCCTTTTACGTTATTGGAAAATCCCACCTGCCCAAAACTATTTGTTAAACTCAGCTTGTTTTAAGACGTTTGACTTTCTACGTGTTTATTTAAGAAAACGCAAGGCATTACGGGTGCAAATTACTCGTCTTTCTCGCTTTAATCACTCTACATATTTTTGACCATTCTCTTGGTGGGTGATACAATGTTCCCACTTGAGGAGGTAGAATTTTTAAGTTTCTACCTCTAAGTAACGGCGAACTCATATTTTGCACCTCACAACGCGCTGTAATAAGCGCGAAGCAACGAATCAACTGATCGCAGATTCAGTTTTGTGTTTATGGTTTCTTTCAGAGGGTTTGTCCGTCACCACATAATCAGCTTCCGCCATACTTGTTAACAGTTTTAAAGGACTCTTCGTCTGAGCAGAAGATCTTCAGCATGACCGAGGTTAACACTGGGATGACTATCACTAACTGTACTTTTATGGTCGACAGCGTCGATCGACGGAAACATCTTGCTCCGACAAACACCGCTGTTATCGTATTGAACTCTATTTTCTCTCTGATAGCTACGATTCAAAATCTTCCAGTAATTTACGCAATTGTGCGAACACCTTCCCTGCACAATCCTCCTTATATCCTTTTGTGCTCGTTGGCTTCGACGGATCTTCTCGTCGGATTTATCATTCAGCCTTTGTACATCGCGCACAATGCCATTCTCCTAAGCGGGCAACAATTCAACTGCAGCCTTTGGATGACGAAAGAGACACTCTTACTGTTGTTTATGTTTGTATCTATCTCGACCCTGGTCATGATAAGCACTGAGCGTTGGCTTGCGCTCCATTTTCACCTCAGATACCGTGAAATTGTCACAATGTCGCGGACGCTCAAATCGGTTGGCTCAACTTGGTTCTTTTGTACTGTGTCGGTTATCGCGTGGCCTGCAGGGCTCCCTATTTACTACTTCACAGCAATCGGAATCGTTGTCATAACGATAGCTGCAATTTTGCTGCTTTTCATGTACATCAAAATATTTCTGGTGCTTCGTCGACACCAAGCTCTAATTGACAACCAAACCAAGCTTCATCCTCAATCAGTCAGCATAAGGAAACATAGGAAATCTTCCGCCACCATGCTTTACGTTGTGGTTTTGTTCTTCATTTTCTACGCGCCTACGTTCTATGCTATGATTCACTATTTACATTCTAAAGAAAAAACGGCCAGCGTGGAGCAGACAATTTTATGGGAGGTGGCCAAGACGGTGGCGTTAATAAACGCTTCCGCGAACCCTGTAATGTACTACTGGAAAATGCGGGAATTGCGACGCGCCGTCCAAAATGTGTTTGGCTCTACGTCCGCAACACGGGTTCATGTGGGAGATGTTATCACCCCTGGATCAGGGAGCATGGAGAATGAGTTTAGGAGTAGAACAGAACATCAGCGGCAAGGATCGTTTTCGCTTAGACCGCGAGTAAGCTGGTCGAATACTGCTCTTTCTAAACCAGATCTTCGTGAAGATCAAAGTTGCTCGGTAACGAAACCACCGGAGAAAAAAGTGTTCCTCTTGCCGAGATATCTCGAGCCTGGCCCGAGCTTTGGATGGCAAGTACCGTCAAGCAGCGATAAATAGAAAGCCTCAAGTAACAGAACGGGTCAACCGCATGATTTCCTTGAGTGTTCGCAATTGCATAAAAACATTTGGAGGGCTCTCCTCGCTTAAGTTAAATCTTGCTTTAAATCTCCTTGACATTTAGATTAAATAACAGACAAGTTTTTTTTTAGTTTCTATAGTCTATTGAAAATTGTTTTCGTCATTTGAGGCAAGATGTTTCGATTCCTATCGCCATTTCCATCGAGTTCTATATTCAAGAACCTTTGTGAATGAAGATCAACGCATTTAGCTTTGTATGAAATTATTTCATCAGGCACTACACTTTTCAAGTTAAAATTCTGAGGGCTTTTCCTGTTGGCTATAACATTTTATTGACTCTTGACAATCTTTTGATTTAAGAAATAAGAGCGATGTTTTGTTCACAAGAGCCCTTGAATGGTTTTGTGTGTGAAATTCAGGGCGGTAGACTGACGCTGAATTTTGTTTTATGTTAATTTTTACCAGACATTTGCTCGAGGGAAACCGACATTAGATTACAATCTGACGTGCTCACATTTACTTTTCTATTCCACTTCGTTTTATTGGCGACGCTACATCTCAGCTAGTCTAAATTTGCGGTGAAGGTCATTGTTTTTCCTTTTTTAAACAACATATCACCGAATACTTTACTCGAGGTTTCATAGAGTAACCTGATATTCTGTCGACATGATGCCGGACGGCAATTACGCGGTGAAATCGCCAGGTAAAGAATCCTTTCGACTTAAATAAAAATATCCTATTATCTTACGGAAATGTTTGCCCAGAACAACCCAATGTGTAAAGAAAGAAAACTTCAAATAAATTAAAAACATGGGCCCAAATATCCAATGTGAGTGTACTATTGGATAACAACCAATCGAATTTCAAAGGACGTCTGATTAATATCGAAACTAATATGCTACTTTTATGGCTTGTTTAATCTTTCAATTTAGATTATAAAAATGTTTTTAAAACCGTGCGGCGCTTATATGAATTATTCCCTTTGTATTAGACCATTCAATGTTTGGTAATTTTCTGCGGCTTATTTTTTTGTGTTATTAGGAAATACAAAAGCTTTTATTACCCAGCTTTAGGAAATATTGTTTAGGGTTAAAAATGTGTCGTCTAAGCCAAACAGAACAAAAAAATTCGGATTGATAACCACGCATAATACGCGACATTTTATTTAATATCAAGTACTTAACAGATATTTCTTTTAACAAATGGAGGTGCTTTTGAAAGTTTGTTTCTTTTTTTTCTTCGCATTGATGGTCTCTTTCGCTTGAGTTATAGAAAAGCTGAGGGACTTGTCTTGGTTTCTTTGATTAAAATCTTCAAGAGACAGCTTGAAAACGAAATTTAGAGGTGTTGCAGTTAGGATCGCTGTAAGGCTACAAAACTACGTAATTCTGCATTATTTTTATTTGTGAACTGACCTTACCTTTCCTGCACAAACAGACAGTCGATGCATTTCACTTCATCGAGTTCGATACGTTTCGTTTCATAAACAAATTGTACTGATCTGCAAGCGTCTTAAGCGATAGCTTTGCACTCCAGCAGTCGACTACATTGCAGAAAATTATGCATTTATTGAAACAAATTTACCATAGTCAAAAATGATTTACAAGCGAGAAATATCATAACCAATATCAATGACTTTAGAATCCTTTCTGGGTGGAATTTTCAGTTAGCTTTAAGCTCACAACAAAAAATGTCTGAGGTAAATTCTAAGAAGTCAATGCTCGCATGCGAAAAATCCTCCTTAAAACTACTTGAGTAAAACAGTTTAACTAACGTATATACCAAACCTCGCATATATTTCAGGATAACTAGCATCAGTCTCTAAATTGAAAAAATTAAATCCACTATTATCTTCGTTCGAAAGAATGATGAAATAACGAAAAAAATTCGATTCATTGTGAGATCGATTGGCCTATTACGCCGTTGTGCTAATCAATACAATTGTGTTCATTAAAAAATAGATGCGAGCGCAGTTTTGGCAGCGTCTGCAGCATCTTCAGCAGCTTCTTTAGCAGCGTCCGCTGGTTTTTCTTCCTCTTTGGATTCAGCGCCCAACATGCCGCCAAGGCCACCTGGTATCTTAGCTAACAGGTCCTCCTTCCCGTCTCCTGCCAGCTTCAGAACCTGCTCCAATTTTTGCCGTAATTCGTCACATTGTGTTTGCAGACTAGTAACTTCGGCAGCTTTCTTCGATAGATCTTCTTTCAAAGAAGCTGCCTCGGCAGTTTTCTCAGCCAGTTGTTTCTTAATGTCTTCTTCTGCCATTTTCTAAAATTGAACGAAAATTATAAGATGGTAACCTTGAGGCTTGAGGCTTGTACGAAGCCTGAAGGTTTTCATTAGGCTCTCACTTCTACAGGCATTATCGTTTTGTTTGTGCATTCGCAAAAGTCCCTTTTCAAGCTGAGATTCAGCGAAGTCTTTCTTTAATTTGTGTGCTCTGGTTTCCCCCTTGTCAATTATATAGAATACGTCAACTTCATATAACCTTATCTCACAATGAATTTCGCACAAACGCAAGTAGATCTGCGGCCACATTGGCTTCAAACCCTGTTTGTCAAGTTGAAAATTTGATTAACTGCAGTTGAGATCACAGTTACATTATGTGATCAGTATTTACTTAAATAACTGGAAAAGTATTGTGTTTCACGTAACAAGCTGACCACTACTGCAGCACTCCCTTTAAAAGTGACGAATAGTATTTTTCCTCAAGGGGATTTTACTCGGTTCACTGCTATCGGTCTGATCTTTATAGCAAAATTGAGAAAAACATTATGCCCTACCTACCAAACTTGTTCTATTTCCCGGCCTCGTCGTCTGTGGAACAGAGTAGCGAAGTCTTATAAGCTGATTGATAGCTTTGGCGCAGGTTGAGGCTTTAAGAAGCTACTTTAGGCGCCCCTGAGTGAGAATCATACATGAATTATAAATTAACAACAAGTTGTTAAAAGAGTGTAAAATGCGCAAAGCCAAACGTCCACAATTTCGTGCCAGGTTTCGTGGTTTAACGGCCTGACGCCACATACCCGCAGATCCTATCCATCCATTTGAACAAAGCAGAGTGCTATTCCTTTTCGAGCCACTTTTCTCAGCTTATCCTTTAGTTGACTGTTTAACATTATCATTTTATATAAGAAAAGAGAAAAAGAAAATTTCTTAACAAGGTCCTATAACATGCAAATTAAATACTCCTAAATACATGTATTTTTACTTTCAATTAAATTAGCAACGTTTGTCAAAAATGTTTCTCTCCCGTGCAATATATAGTCTCCACGTTGTCGTCAAACAGTGAGTAGAATGAAGGAAAATAGTTATACTGCCCGGTCCAATTCTCTCTGATAATTTATCGAGAATTGAATAGTATAAGGAAAACGGGAAATCAAAAGATAAAACTCTACGTATTGTAGTTTTTCGCATATTTAATTATCAATTTAGCACAAATTACCTGTTATCCTGCGGGTGAGCAACCACCATTTCCCGATTCATAATTTAGCAGCGGTTTGCGTTTGTTAAAACCCACAGCGTCCCTTTGCGGTGTTCGGCAACGGCATTCATCAAAACGATAAACATCTTGTGAAAGCGAAAATTCAAAAGAAGAAAAGGCAAAATGGGAAAAGTAAAACTATTGCAAAACAAAAAAAAATGTTGTCAATTTAAAAAACATTTAAAAACCTGCGCAAACAAGATAACACCAGACTCGTCGTAAATTATGCGGTAATTAATAAAGAATTAGCCAGAAACTGGGGAAGTAAAAATGTCATTTGTTACCACTCATATGTTTGCTTTGCATTTTGTCTTCATTCAGCGTTTGCGTGTTCCTTTCCTTTAAGCTGCACTTATTTACTTATTAAGAATTTCAGAAAATCGCTTCCGCTGAGGAACTATATTTTTAATTTTAGATTCATCAAAATTTAAAGGGTAGTTTTCTCCGTGTTGCGACCAGGCTTTAATCTTCCGTGGCAGCCTTTTTTTTACGCGCCCTAGTGGATGGAGTAACCACTGTATTTAAAAAATTGTGTATTAGCAAAAGTTCAAGGAGTCAACGATGGATAATAATTCGACTGGTATACTAGTGATTTATCTGTTCTACTGTACACAAAAAAAATCGAAGAATATTTTATATTCAGAGGCCGATGCTACGAATGTTAGTCTGAAATGTTTATAACATATCTCTGTTCGCCAGTCAGCCTTCCTTCGGCACAATGAATTCTAACATTAGAGTAAGAGTCTGTGAAGTTATAGTTTTACAATTATATGGAAAACAACACCGAGTAGCGAAAAGTAGCATCACATAATGACTGATTTTAAAGATTCCATGGGAGCTGCACACTTTTAACGAGACCTGCGATGGATTCAGACACGGAAATATATTAGCCAATCACGTAGCACGAACAAAAGTCATCTCTCGAGGACGCTGTCATGTGGTATTGTCATTGCGTTTCCTACCAAAACATCCTACCTTGTTCTTTTCCGCGAAGAAATTTAGACTGTCAAAATAAAGTCGTTTCTTGAAAACAACTGTGATTTCAGATTTTCATGCCTTCACCACATTGAGATACTTCTCGATTTCCCCACGCAGGAAACTTGCGACTTTGCCAAGCCTTTAAGTAGGCAGGACTCTTTTTATTCATAAATTTACCAAAACTCCTTGTTCGTAACAAATTCGTTAGAACCAGACCTGTGTATGGGAGGTTTGGCCCTTTCTAGCAGCAAATGAATCTTTCTTTAATTGAACAAACTTTATGTAAATATGCGCTTTGTTGTAGAATTTAGATCTCCAGGTTAGTCCGAGAATAAGTTTGAGGAGGATTATTTCTTGGTGAATTAATGATTCGATACAGATCCTTAAAATCGAATGAATTAGCCAAAAAAGAGGGGCATAGTTGTTTGACTGAACTAAGCC